ACAGGAAAAGTTGGAGGGTGGTGATGAATTGAAGAGAGAGGCACTAGAAACCCCTGGAATATGATGCAAAAAATAAATAAATAAATAGAGGAAAGGAGATTTTAATGAGTTCTCCAAGGTTTTTGCTTAATGCAAGAATTTAAACTGTTTTAAAATTACTTTTGGTTGCTAGACTATGTCTTTGATCAAGGCACTACTCTGATACTCATTGAGAAGGGTCCTTACTCCATAAAAGCTTTACTAATTTCATAAATTCATCTCTCTGTGAGGTTGAGTGCCTTGCCCCTATAGATATGCAATGACACTTCATAGCAGATCTGGCAAACTGGCTTTTCCCAACAGCTAACCACCAAAGCCAGTAAGTAATTGGCAGAGACCACACATTCTCCTTGAGGCAACCTTCAGGAAATTCGACGATAAATGTTCTATGACCCAGGAGGATCACTTGATACAGAAGACACTTGAGAGCTTATAAGGGTCATGTTAACTGTCTATTCTTGTAGGTTTTCTGTGCCAGGTCCCTATATTAAGCCAGATCAACAGAAAACAAATTACTGGAGCCATAATACCTTAGCTTTCTGGGTGGGGGAGATCCTTAATGGCTTAAGATTTGACATTTTACAGCCTTTTATTTCTTTTTGAAGAGGAAGAAAAGATATTTCCATTTGAAGATTGTGTCTATATCTTTTATAAAACCACATTGCCCATTATAATAAACAATATCTATTATACAGGATTCACATGATAAAGTCCTCCTGGAAATAAGTGGCAGGAAAAAGAAATCTCTCTAGGCAGATGAACTCACGGGCATGTTGTTGTTGTTGCTGTTGTTGTTGTTGTTTTGTTTTTTTTTTACTTGACAGAGAACTATGCAACTCAATTTTGGTTTTTTCTTCCCTTTTTGCTTTAACTACCAAGAAACTCAGAGTGAGATTTAGTGGGCAAATACAGTGATTTATCATGGGACTGTCTGAAGCTTCTAGTTATGTTTCTTATAACTTTTTCTGGTTTGGGGTTTGAACTGACCTGTTTTCACGTGTTCTTAACACTTGAAAACCACTTAGGTCTGTTTTAAGAAGGTGTGTCAAGGAATTGTAGAACCAAAAGCTCTCAGAGTGGGAATAGAACTTGAGATATCATTTATCCTAACTCCTATACAATGCACAAAATATCATCTACTCTCTTCCCATTACATGATCATTTAACTTCTGTTTGAATATCCTTAATGACAGAGAACTCACCACCTCTCAGACTCTAACATTCATTTTCAGATAGCTCTGACTACTAGAAAGTTCTGCCTTATGTTGATTTTATGTCCCCAGCTTCCATCATTTGATTCAGATTCTATCTTCTGAAGCAACATAAAACCAAAAGAAATCCTGTTCTCCATGGTATCCCTTCATATTTATTAAGAGAGCTATCTTGCCCTTCCTTTGTCCCTTAGTGTCCATTTCTCTTGGCTAAGTATAACAATTCATAAAACCAACTACCCTCAATGCCACAAGTTATAACCATAGTAAACAATAACTAGATTGTTTTCAATGCACAAATGAGGAATGTTTTCATTATCAAAGGTTAATGGTCCTCAAGAAAAAAGTTAACCAACTATGATATACTAAAAATGTGACTTAATTTAACTCTTTAGTATTTTATGAAGGAAATATAAAAACACTCAAACACTTTTCAGATAAAGAGCGAGGTATCTAACATCTAACAAACACAAGAAATACAATATATACTTTGTTTTTAAATAATAGGTATGAAGTTACATTATATATATGTGAGTATATATATGTATATCTTCACAGGTGATGAGAGAGAGGGTGATAGTAAATAGATGGATGGGAACACAAGAAAAACATTAAATAACAAAAGGGGTAAAAGTGCTCAGAAAAAAGACACATATGCAGAAAGACATAGAAATATTCATTTATTTATTTAACATATATTTATTAAGTGCCTGTCATATGCATCAGGCACTGTGCAGAGTATAAAGATGAATTAAACATAGTTCCTGCCTTCAAGAAGCTTATAAAATTTTTTTAAATCTAGGTCAAATATAGTTGAGACAAGAAGATAAGTAAACAACCGTAAAATAAGTTAATGTTACATAACCATTAAAGAAGTATAGCTAGGAATTTCGAAATGGAGACATGTGATTATAGTGAATAAGGAAGGCTTTTGGTGAAAAGAGATATTTGTCTAGACTTTGAAGAATGGGTAGAATTTGGACATGTGGTGGTAGGAGACAGAGAAGGAATTTTAGGTAGAATAAACAGCATGATTAATGGCATGAAATCAGAAAATGTCAAAGGAAAGAGCTAATAATAGATTTTGACTAGAGAATAAACTGCAAGAAGAAGGGTAGAGAAAGCTAGGTTGGAAACCAACTAAGAAATTTATAAAACTAGTGGAACATTGAAGTTTCTGGAGCAGGAAAATTACAGGAGGTGAACTGTGATCCCAGAAAAATACACTTAAATGCAGCAAAGATATACATACAGAAGGAAAAAAAGTTACTTCCCTGGAGTAACATAACCTTCTTATGATATGGTTTGGAATACTGTTACTAAAAACCATTAGAATAGTGTTGTACTTTCTAATTATAAGCATAAGTGGGGATATTTTGTATTAATGTTTACCCTGTAGGGTCAGTGACTAAGTCAACCCAAATCTGACCAATGAGGTAGGTTCTACAGTCTCACAACCATCCAAAAAACTTAATCTGACCCTAGATTGCTCCTGGACCAAGGGATGCCCCACCAAACAAGTTGGACTTATTTCTAAACCACATCAAAGATGTCCCAATGAAATTAAAATACTGCCACTAATAGTGAGCCAAAGTGAGTATATAGGTTAATGGTCACCTCTCCCCCCAGTCTCTCTTTGAAAGAGATTCATTATTGCTTGACCTACAGCAAACCCAAACTAGCTCCATCAGCTAGTCCCTGAGAGAGCTCATTCTTATTACCAGTGCTGCTTGAACAATTGTTTTTCCTATGATCTCTCATTCCAGGAAGCCATGGTCATGAGAAGTTCACCTGTGTCTATTCCCCATGATAAGCTCAACCACCCCTGAAGTAAAGCCCTTCTTTGGCTAGTCTACACCCAGTGGATACAAAATTGTACTCACAACTCAGGAAATTCCCTATCTCTGGAGGAGAAAGTTGGAGTCGACAAGTAGTAATCAGATTCAGTTCTTATCTTGCTTTAAAGTTCACAGGTTTGGTTCTCCCCTGACTCCTCTCACTATATATAGGAGCTACCATTTGGATATTGGGCACATTGAAGACATTCTTGGTGTTCTCCAAAGTCAGGCATCTCCTCATGTATTTCTGAGACTTTAGTTCTATAGGACTTGGGTCCTGTGCTAAAAGCTACAAATGAATCCATAGGGCCAGGCAGAATTAGAGGTTTATTCTCCATTCACTTGGGTCAGATCATCTTAGATAGGGACGTATATGGGTTAGATCCTGTCTGCATGGTAAAGCTGATTTAGTGATCAAGGAATCTGCTATCTTCCTTCTGTACTCTATTTCTTTCTGGATTGTGATGTCAGCAGTCATCTAGCTCAAAACACCCCAAACCAGAGTATTCCTGCCAAGCCCACGCTTGTACGTACACGGTTAGGGATCTTACCCCCAGAATTTCCAAGAAGTATTCCTAAGGGTCAGAGGTTTTCCTTGACAATTCAGATCTGTTTTTGACTTGTTAAAGCAAGTTCTTATTTACTAACTAGATGGTAACTTTAAAAGGATCGCTTCTCCTCTCAGAATCTTCATATTCTCCTTCATACTATAACAGGGTTGACAGTTTCCAAAGGCCCTGCCAGCTCTATGCTTCTATATGTATATTCATTTGCTTGGAATTAGTCACCTTTGAAAGATCTTTAGTGGCAACTGGAGCCACTCTAATTTATAGTGAGCCAAAGTGAATGTATAGATGAATGGTCACTTCGGCTTCTCTCTTTGAAAGCAATTCATGGCCTACAGCAAATCCAAACTAGAAAATAAGTAAGATTGCAGGGGTTTTACAAACTACTCTAGGAGAAACACAAACACCACACAAATAACAGACATATAATGTCTTATAAAAGGTAACTTGTGTCCATGTCTATGGTCTACTCACCAATTATCTTGACCCAAGAAAAAGGCATGGACCACAGAAGGGGTGAGAGAGAATTCTATTGCGCAGACTCCACTATTGTAATGGGCTATATTCAACCGGTCAGATGGGAAATGCATTGATTAGGTCCACAAGCTTTGGCTGGAGAAGAGGTTAAAGTAAAATGGTCAATCCTCTGTGGACTTTTGGCTAATTAATGCTTACTTGATTCAATTGAGTGTTTAAGTTACGTTCAACTATTTGATGTCACATAGATGTGACCACCCAGTGAATGAAGTATTACTGTCTGGCTGTTTGCCACCTCCTACTCCTTGGAAGTTGATTCCAGTTGGATTAAGGACAAGAATGTAATTATATGAGTAGTTTGGTAATAAAGTTGTTTATACTATGTCTAAGACAGGGTAGGAAAAACGAGAGTCCTTGCAACAATACTTCTTGTTAGAGTTGCTTTATGTAGTAAACCTAGTTATGGCCCTCTGATGAAGTAGATAGCCATCTGCTATCTCCTCCTGCTTCACTATCCCAAGTGCAAGAAAGAATGACTGGATCACTGAAAGCTTCCCAAAATCTAAACAGAGTCAACCTCTACCATCAAAAATATGAATAATATTGCCAACAATAAAATAAAATAAAAGCAAAGTGGGTAATTTCAGAATCAGCTGAGTTCAGGTATTCTTTGGCTAGGTAGATGCTATAATATGCAATAATCTATGAAGTGAAGCCAAACAGGGAAGATAGAATAAAGGATCTAAAGGAATTTTGAACAATCCTAACTTCCTGTGTGCCTTTCTGTGTTTTTCGAAATTTTCTACAATGAACATATATTGCTGCTGAGGTCCATAAGGAAAAAAAAAATCTAAAGAAAAGGACTTATATAATTCCCCATGGGATGATCACTTTATTAAGTTATGTTGTAAAGTACAGTAAAACCTCAAATAAGCAAAACCTAACTTGCAGTCCATTCACATTTGGCTTTGTTTTTCCAATAATTTATTTTTAAAACATAAATCACAAGAAAACAAGCAGATATGAGGGATGTGATAAGATAAATTTAAATTTGTTTGAAAACTTTATTTGAATTGTTTTCTAAATAATTTATTTTATACAAGGAATATAAGGGTACTTAGGAAAACAACTGGGAAGAAATTTTTACTCCCTCTTAATGACCAACTCAAGCCAGTGTGCTAGTAGCAACAGACAAATAGAGAAATAATCAGCTGTATGTGAGAATCATGCTGTACCTCACTAAATAAATCAAATAGTATATGAGAGTAGGGAATGGTTTTTCTTCTGATCAGATAATTAAAGCACTAAGAAAAATTGAAGAAAGCTTAGTTTTGGTCAATGCAGAAGGCCTTAATGAAAAAGAATCTAAAAATGGATGGAATAGTTTTACAAAGGGCCTCATGATAAAATCAAGCAAAGGGAGATGTGATCATGAACAAGACAGAATTAGTAGGCTTGACAAGATAAACTTGGTTGACATGCTGGACTAGAGAAATACTAAGGAGGGAAATAGGGGATAGGATCAGATACAAAGTTAGGAATCACTCTCAGTGGGTTTTGTTGCTTAATAAAAGATTTTGGCTGAGCAACGTTCATTTTGCACGCCCACGCTGGAGCTGTAGGTCCTAGGGCTAAATAACTGAACTGTGTTTGGGAGAATACAAATTCATGGAGGATCTGGAGCTGCAGCCCCACTCCCACTCCCTTGCCCTCAATTATCCTTCCATATGTATACTGCAGGATAATGCTACCATCTCTGGAAGAAGAAAAGCTTTTTTATTGCCTCACCAAGAGAAGATTCAAATCTTGGAGCCCTTTGCCCTAGGGTGAGAGAAAGAGAAAACATATGCCTTGTATATCCTAGACCTTTCACAGGATTTCAATATGAATAATTCCAAGCCCCACACCACCACCATATTCCATAAACAGCTTGCAAATTCCTCAACTTTCCTGGATTGTTAAACAAATAAACATTATTACATTTGTCGCCCAAACTTCTAGTTAGGTCTTAAAAGCTCAGTTTTTGACTAAGACCTTGATAAAAATAGAGGATGATATTTTATGTGTCCTTCTCTGATATGTCTGGAAAAAGGAGTTAGAAACTCAGCTCAAGGAAGTTGAAAGGTAACTTAAGCCTTTTCTGCGTCCTCTTGAACAGCTTTGGCATGGTAAATAGACCACCAGAGGCTGACAGAAGTTGGATTCTGTTAAGAGATAAGTAGTCCAAGGGCCTTTGACTAAAGGTTGAAGGAAAACTGCTGGGAAGAACTTTTGACTCTAAGCTCAGATTCAGGGTGAGTTGATAGTGGAAAAATTAAATAATAGTGAGAAAGGTATCAAATTATACCTTAGGCATTTATTTCTTTAAAAGAGGTTGTACTAAAAAGAATTAACTGCTTTACTAGCTGATATGTTTGGGTTCAGCTGTTTTAATAAGGAGATTTTTTAAATATAATAAACAAGAGGAAAAGCTTGCTTAACTATTTTAAACATGCCTGAGACTTAAGCCTTATTGCTTTGGTCCACGTGACTGCGGCAAGCCACTGCCAATAACCCCTTGAAAGTGGAATCTGGAAAACTAAAAGCATAAAGTAAAAACAAATGTTCAAAGGGATTTATTTTAGGAGAAGGAGTAGAGGGTTGAAAGGCAGGGTGGGCAGGAAAAGGGAGGGAAAGTACAAAACTTTAAGGGAATCGCTCAGTTCAATCCATGATTTTTATATATTTTACCCTGACAACATATCTTACATTTATTCTGTCATGTTTAGAATACTACCCTGAGTCGCAATGAAATACTCATCTAGCAAGGACAATCCAATTATGTTGCCCAACTTAGGAAAAGAGACCGTGACAGTTTTGGAAAGATTTTGAAAAATGAGCAATAAGGAAACAAAGAAACTTCTTAGCCTTCAGTTATCCAAACAACACAATTAACCAGACTCTTCTCCCTCCTTCTTCCTTATGCATTCCAGCCAATTGAGATCACAATAGACTGGGATTCAGATGTATGTTTGTGAAGGTTTTTTTTTTTTTTTTTCCTGGCACTAATCTTATAGTATCTGAGTCATAAATTATGTTCATTAAATACTTTCTAGAGATTAAAATGAAATGAAAAAGAAAACATAGTGCCTCCTACTTTTTTTCTGTGAAAATAGAGAGCTTCTCATCTTCATCCAAGTTGGGCCTGCTACTTTGGAATGACTAAACTTGGAGGTGGCTCTCTACTCTTCAATAAGGTTCACATCTATTGCAGTTTACATTCATACGGCCTTGCTAGTGATAGCTGGGTACTGAGCGAAACTTTTAAAAATACTTCCCAGTGTCCTGCTCACACTGGAATTAGGTCATCCTCAGAGGTGTAGTCATTCACTAATTTCTTGCCCAAGCAGAACAATTTGTTGAACTGAAGTGAGCTTTTCCATTGCCTCACCAAGAGAAGATTCAAATCTTGGAGCCCTTTGCCCCTGGGCGAGAGAAAGAGAAAACAGTAACCATACCTTATATATCCTAGGCCAAAACAGTAAGCATACCTTATATATCCTAGGCCTTTCACAGGATTTCAGTATGAATGATTCCAAGCCCCACACCACTATTATATTACATAAACAGCTTGCAAATTGCTCAACTTTCCTGGATTGTTAAACAAATAAACATTATTACATGTGTCAGATTTGCATGATTAGACATTGCTATTTACAGGGGTTTTACAAATTTAACAAACCATCATTCTTAGCAAACTATCACAAGAACAGAAAACCAAACACCGTATGTTCTCACTCATAGGTGGGAACTGAACAATGAGATCACTTGGACTCAGGAAGGGGAACATCACACACCGGGGCCTATCATGGGGAGGGGGGAAGGGGGATGGATTGCATTGGGAGTTATACCTGATGTAAATGACGAGTTGATGGGTGCAGCACACCAACATGGCACAAGTATACATATGTAACAAACCTGCACGTTATGCACATGTACCCTACAACTTAAAGTATAATAATAATAAATAAATTTTTAAAAAAAAGAGGGCATGTTAATATACAGGTGGTCTCAACTTACTAATGAGGTATGTTCTACACATTTATAAGTCGATGATTTGGAACTTGGAATGGCTTCCTCCATAGTAACAGTGCTATATGTGTGGTGGTCAGGTTTCTAGCCAGTCCACAAAGGCTGATTTAACTCACATGGAGCAGAGTTATATTAAAGCTCTCGTGGGGGTCTTGGGTCCTGATAGCAGAAGGAAAATGTGCTTTCTCTCCATTCATTGAGTCCAATAAAGACTCAAAAGGCTTAAAAGAGGTGGAATGTAAGCTAACTTTTCCATCTTCATACTTACTTTCACCCTTTCCTATTTCCCAGGGATCCACTGCTTTTGTGTTATCCCAAGTCTGCCAGTGTGACCCTCTATTCTTCAAAACTGCCAACTTCGCCATTTCTCCTTGTCCTAATCAAAATAACCAAATCCTCCTGAACAGTTAGCTCAGTTCACCTTCATTATGATATGGGTGATTAATTGCTTCTCACCCTCAAAAAAGCACATCTATGATTAAAAGAGGGGGCTTGTCAGCCCAAAATTAACCCCAGTTGGTGAAATGTTATGGAAAGTAACCAGATGATACAAAAACCAGGTTTGAGAAGTAGTGGATATTTGGGGACACAAGGTAAGAGTTATCAGGTAGGGCCCTGCTTGAGGCAGCCCCTATAATCACTTCACCAAAGCTGTGCCCCCTTTCATAGCAGTTTTTCATCCTTCCTGTCCAACCTCACAGGGCTCTCTTAAAGGTTTCAAGTTTTTCCTCGACATCTCTTACGATGGTGGCAGCAAGTCAGTGGCATTCATAGGTGTCATAGGTCTTTTGTAAGTTGGGTCTATCCCAGTAAGTGTCAGCCTGTAAATTCACAGAAAGTTGGAAACATTCTGGAATAGGCGGTGTTAGCAAGTAACAGCAACATAGGTGTGCTTGGATTTAGGACAAGCCTTCTGAAATTTGTCAGGGGTGTACTTCTTGGGGACTTTTGTGATTTGTATAGGCTAGCAAGGCCATGTGGTCAGTTAACAGGCTGATTGAAGTACATGTGTTAACGAGGCCAGGACCAGAGGTGGAATCCTCTCTTGACCCAATGGCTTTGATCTGTTCCATATATCTACAGTACACAGAAGCTGGCCCTCTGTCAAGGGGTTCCAGATGAGTGAATTTACAAATGACCTAAGCAACATTCATCTGTATGTCAGGAAAGCACTACCAAGCACACAGCCAATGATGGTGAGTTGCAGTATTTTGTGCTGCAAACTCCAACACATTCTTAGGAATGGATGGGTTCTTGTACAGTGCCTCCAATGCCACACTACCCTTCCAAAGGGATAAATCCTTCGAGAGCTTCCAAACACTTTCCTGAAGAGAAACAGAGAGAGAGAGAGGAGAGGAGGGGGGAGAGAGAGAGAGAGGAGAGGAGGGGGGAGAGGGAGAGAGGGAGAGAGAGAAAAAGAGAGAGAGAGAGGAGAGAGAGAGGAGAGAGAGAGGAGGGGGGAGAGGGAGAGAGGGAGAGAGGGAGAAAGGGAGGGAAGGGGAGGGGGGGGGAGAGAGAGAGAGAGAGAGAGAGAGAGAGAGAGAGAGGGGCTAGAGAGTATGTGTCTGGATCTGTGTGTGTGTCTGTCTGTGTCAGAGGTTGTTGCTGTGTTTCCCTACTCAAAGGAAAGAATGGTTCTGGAAATTGGAAGACTGTAGAACAAATCCTGGCCCCAGGTGTCAGGGAGTCAGAGGGTGATGCAGGAGGCTGCAGAAGAGCCACACACTCAATACAGAAGCCTTTGTAATGCATAAATGTTTACGACTAGTTCAGGGTACCTGTTATTATTGCAGAAGTGAAGATGCATTGGGGTTTCCTTAGGACAGAAACAGTCACAAAGAATCAACAAAGTCATCAGAGGCCAGTAGGAGAATATGAAAGTATGTGGATGCCTTTAGTAGTTGCTGTTAGAATTGTGATTATTCTGGGACAGGTTAGAGAACAAGGGAGCAGGAGTATGTGGAGATGCCTTAATGTTTACCTTAGAATCTTGTGATTTCCAAGGATATGTGGAGAGAGCGAAGTGTTTCAGGGTCAAAGTTTCCATGGAAGAGAGAATAAGAAAGCAAGATTTTAAAAAAGAAAAAAACAAAAAGCAAACACGATAAAGAAGATAAGAGATACTGAGAAGAGACAAAGAACACAATGGATTCCTCAGAGATAAATATGGATAAATATGTGGAGAGAATTCCTGATAATTAGGTGGTTGTTGCTGCTTCAGAATTGTACCATCCTAGTAGGGGAGAAAGGATGGGAGAAATTGTCCTGAATACAAGCCAGGCAGTTAAAGAGTAGCCAGTCTTATTTTGCTTGGCAAGGCCAACCGTGAAAGGGATCAGGCAGTGCCTCCGGAGGAAATGACATAAATATCCCCTCCAAGGTGGTCTTGCCAACAGATCCCAGGAATAGCAGGTAGTCCTATTACTATTGCCTAGACAGATGTAAGTCTCTAAAGATCTGATGTGGCTCACCATGTGGCCCAGGTGCTCAACAATAAAAGAGACAGGTGTACCTACCTGATAACTGGATAGCAAGGCCAGCTTTGTTAGCATTCAAATGTGTTGTCAGGGCAAGAGGCAAGGGTCTCTCTCGGGCCAGGGCAGACAACTTCCCTCAAGTGCAGTTCACCCTGCAGCAGGCCTCCCCACAACAAGATTTTCACCCATTTTATTAGACCGTGGAAATTCTCCAGCTCCATCACACTATGCCAACAGAGTGTAGGCTGACACTGGCACGCATGCCAAAGGAAGCTCCAGATTTGAAAATTTGGCAAGCTGCTGTGCTGTTTTCCTCCTGGCTATTACCTTATGGCTTGTTTCTCACCAACTGCCTTTCTGCTTTTCTTCTTTGGAAGGCTGCAATTTCCACTGGTTGTAGGCCATGGCCCACTTGCCTGCAGGGCAGGGGAGACATTAAATAGGTAGTGAAGAAAGTGTGGCAGAGTATGGCATAGGAAGACTCCAATTAAATGTGAACTCCACTTACCCATCTTTGTCCACTGGTGGGGGCACAGGAAGGGGCTTCGTGAAGCCTTTTTTCCCAATCAGCCAGAAGGTCTCCTCTGTGCCTTTGCCCTTATTATAGAAAACATGAAAAATCTTAAGCATGTTATAATCAATATTCCAAAAGGATACAAGCATTCAGGTTGGCTCAGAAATTGCCTCACCACTCCCTGGAGTCTTCCTCCCTACGGGGCTGAGCCAGAGCAGCCAGATGAAAAGTGAACACCATATCAAGCTGTCATCCAGATGCTTTGTCTCCACCATATAGCTTCATCATTGGGAATATGTGGATGTTTGGCTTCACAGCAACCAAATGTCTGGATGCCCAGTTGAAGATTTTGTATATCATTTGTGCCCTGATCTTTTGGCATTAGGCAAGCCATTGTCTTCTGTATCTAGGGTGCATATATTCAGATTCTACCTACCTCCTTACCCTCTCATTCAATGGCTCTCACCAAACCCAAAAAGAGAGTAGAAATAGAAAACAGGCTGTTAAATTTTAAGCCTAAATTATCCTAGCTATTTTGAGAGGTCTACACTTGTGCAGTGTTCTTTTCTTCCAGCCAAGGGACTCTCACAGGTAGGGCAAGACCCCAAGTTGGCCTCCATTTATAGCTCAGTTACTTGGTTGTCAAGAACTCAGGTCTAAGAAGAGAAAAGGAGTGTACACTCAAGCTAGTCACCCCAGGGCCTGAGTGACGACCTCAGAGGAGTCAAATTTTCTGCCTCTGTTCTGCCTTCCTCTCTTTCCAGTAAACTTTCCTCTCAATGTGCTTCTCTCTCCTCCTTTCAATTCTCTTTCATCTGTTCTCTCATTTCCTCTAATCCATAAGAAAAAAATGTGTTTACCAAGACTGAGGAAAGTAATGGGATGTGTTTCCAACTCATTAAACTGAAATATGGTCTCACTCTCAGCAGCTCTCATTTGGAGCAGTTCTGAATTGTTTAACTTCGAAATTCCAATTAGATTTGCCCCCTTTAAATATCAAATCCACTGTTCCCTATTTTACATCACATATATTTATCCCTTAATAATAATGACAATGACCATAATAATTAGCACATTTAATTGGAGAATCTCAAAGCATTTTGCAAATATTTGATTCAAGGCTTGAACAAGCCTTCTATGAGGCAAGTAGAAAGAGCATACCACATAGTCCAACCTCCATTAACTGGCATCAGACTCTCCCTAAGTCTCAAACAGTTCAAATAATTGGACTATTTGAGCCTACTCTGTTTTCAGAAGAGGTAAACAACTTGAAAATATATTCCTTCATGCATTCTTTCATTTATTCCACTCCTCCTGTACTAGGGCTGGAAATACAGAGATGGCTCCATCCTTAAGGAGCTCACAGTATGGTTAAACACAACCACTAGGCCATGTTTTAGGCCCTAAACACATTAAGCCCAACTCTTCTGCTTCCAAAGCTTTTTCCTTTTACACGGTACCTAGTGTGGTGTCTTATACAGACAGTTGCCCAGTAAATAATCAGACTGTTTCATTAATTGAAACTCTCAGCCCTTGTGCACTTGGAATACTCAAGGTGCCATTGGATCTTATTTTGGAAAAACATACTATTAAAGTTCAAACTCAAGAGTCCCCCACCCTCAGCCATATTTGACTGTTTGTCTTGAGATCTAGAGGCTATCAGGACAGCATGCCAATCTCCAAGGGAGCTTTGTAGATGCCAGAATTGTCCAAAGATTTGGGTGGGTCTTAGGACACACTGGGATGCCAAAACTAATGGTTGCAAAAGAGGATGGAAGTTTTATGGACTCAGGCAAGCTTCCAAATCAGAGTATGCAGGGGAGCTCCAGGGGCCCTCTGAGGTTTTGGAGCCCATCCAAAAGAATTCTTAGAATCCTAGTTCTCTGTTTACCTACCTGACTTCCACAATTTTGCTAAAGGGAGAAAAAGAGAGAAAACAAGTATGGCAACAACTAAAGCCTGAAGCAAACTCTTTGACCCAATATCAATCCCTAAGCAGTCCTAGAGATCCCCCAAATAATAGCATCTTACTTTGGCATGATGCTTCTGAGACATTTTGGTATCTCCGATCTTACTTAATCCTCACAAAAATCTAGAATATAGGTTAATATCTATTCAAAATAAAAAGAGTAATAATCTCATTCTGCGAATGGGGACACTGAGGTTCCTGGAGATTAAATGACTTGTCAATAAATAGGTACAACTTGGACTTGAACCCATCTCCTAGACACCAAATTTTAAAGGCTCTTCCTTCCATACCACAAAACTTCTCCAACACACTGGAGTCAAAAGGCAGATCTAGAGGCCAAAAAGCAACTATTGGGAAATTTGAAGCTTGTGAGATTAATGAGCTTCCTGATAACCGCAAGTCAGATGAGGCCTCCATGTGGACAAATGAAAGCACGGAGAGAGGGTGAAATTACTTGTCTGATGTCAGACATTAAGTCAGTTATGGGGCAAGAATTTGAGGCAAAACTTTCTGACCTTCATGGATCTGTCAGTACAATCTCACCATTTCTTAATTCAGTTGCTGGTGTGTGTGCATGTGTGTGCTTATATGCACACTTGACTGCTTGTGTGTGTACGCTAGGGGTTGGGGTATGAGTAGAAAATATTGGGGAAAATAAAACAAACACTAATACTTAGGAACCTGAGAACCAAATACTGTTTAACCCCAGAATTCAAAGACAAGTTCAGAAAGTGCCCACCTCTAGAATGTAAATTAGTACAGCCATTATAGAAAACAGCATGAAGATTTCTCCAAAAAGTTAAATTACCATATGATCTAGCAATTCCACTTCAGGGTATTTACTCAAAATATTGGAATTAGTTTGTCAAAAAGATATCTGCACTCCCATGTTCATTGCAGCACTAGGCACAATAGCCAAGTTATGGAATCAACCCGTTTATCAACAGACGAATGGATAAAAAAAGTAGCATATAAACACAATGGAATACTATTCATCCTTTAAAAAGAAAGAAATTCTATCACTTGTGACAACATGAATGGAATTGAAAATGTTTGCTAAGTGAGATAACCCAGGCACAGAAAGGCAAATACTGCATGTTCTCATTTATACGTGGAATCTAAAACAATTGAACTAATAGAAGTAGAGAGTAGAATGGCGGTTACAGAAGCCAAAGGTGGGTGAAATTAAGAGATGATGGTGTAAGAACACAAAATTTGTTCAGTTAGACAGGAGGAATACGTGTGATTTTTTTCAGCTCTATTGCATATCATAGTGAATATAGTTAATAATGTTGTACATTTCAAAATCACTAAGCGAATGCATTTCAAATGTTGCCACCACAAAAGAAATGTTAAGTATTTGAGGTGATGGATATGTTAACTGGTTTGATTGAATTATTCCACATTGTATTACTAAATCCTAACATCGCTTTGTACCCCATAAAAATACACAATTATTAATTGTCAGTTTACAATAAAAAATTACGAAGTATTTATAAAGTGTCCACCTCTGACAACAACAACATAAACTGGCTGAAGAGCAATCATTTGAGAAAGTCTCCCCAGAATGTAGCTCTACCTAAAAGCTTCTGGTAAATACAGCTGATAAGCCTAGATATATACAAAAATCTCAGCAAGGAGCTCCACACTTGTCAGAAAAACAGTGACTGAAACACGACTCATGTACGAGAAGAGGTAATACAGTGACTTATCACTAGCCCATCAGGAGAGAAATATTGAAAAAGCAGAACTGGCCAGCTAGGCATTGATAATTTGTTGCCAGTATAGTACAAGAGGGGGTTGAAGTGGGCAATGGGCAGTGGGCACAAGAGGCCGAGCTTCTCATCTCTAAATGAGTCCTCCCCCAAGCTACTTCAGCTTCCTCACTTTGTTCTCTTTCTTTGTAACCTCAACCCAGCCAATTACTCAACTGCCCTATGTTCTCCTCTCTCACCCGATTAATCCATGTTTTTGATTCCACTGAGGGAAACAACATAAAGTGTCATCAACCTAGTGGAGGAGATGCGGTGGGGGGAAGAATGTTCTTACTGGATACAAGCCTTGAGCCCAAGAGAAAAGGCTTTAATGGAGGAATTTCAAACATCAGTCAGTTGGAAGGAAAAGACATTTCTAGCCATCAACTTTGAAATCACACCAGGCTCACCATCAAATGTGATATTTCTGCCCCATGTACTAGAGCAACTCTTGCTTCTAGTAGCACAGAGTAGATGAGGAGTGAAAATGTTAAATCAGAATTTCTGAAGTGTGCTGGTGACATGGTCTTATTGGGGGTATATTGCATGTCCCTGGTGGACCAGAAACCCCATGCCCCTCAGCCCCTATGATGCAATGTACAACACCTGTTTCTGGTGGTGAGGTAGAGGGTACACACACAGAAAGGATCCCTCCGCCTCTCCTGACCTTTCCTTGGGCCTTACTTCCTCTCCTCTTCCTTGTTCTCATTGCCCCTTCCTTTCCTCTGAGGCTCCCTCTTCTCTTCCCTCTTAATCTCTCCTCCTTATAAGGACCCTGACACTACAATAACCCAGGCCCAATGTGGCATCAGGGAAAGGCTCCTCTTCCAACCTGCTACAAAATGTTCCCAGATTCCCTGGGGTTGAGGAAACCACAAAACTGCAAAGGGCCCTTTTGAAGTTAAGTCCTGATTTTGTACTTGAAATACCCAAAGATGTGAGTGCTCCTGAACTGAATTTGTGGGACAATAAAAACCATGGGGACAGGGATGCATTTTCGTTTTTCAGTTTCAAAAGTGGCAACTCGTCAGTTTTTAAATGAGGGATCTCTGCCCAGCAATGCAGAGGAAAAGGTCTTCAGGAAACCAAGCTGCATTTCTACTCCTCTGTTGAAATATGACATAATGTATAGAAGGATCACAAAAGCTTTGGACAGTTAGATTTGCTGCCCAAGTAATATCCCTGTCCCCATCATTTCACTGTCTGAGTTCTCTGCAAGAGGTGGGAAAGGAGCCTCTGTCCCCTTGTAAGTGACTCATCCAACCTACTGGAAGATACTAATAACCTATTGGAAGGAAAAAACTAGGACTTGCCATAGGAGGAAGTTATCAACGAGAATTAGACCTTCCAAATTTTAACGTCTAAAATCTAGCTACATGTAACTTGCCACCATTTAGAAAAGGAATGCCAAAGTCAGAAGCTAATTGTGCATCACTTAGTGCCCTGCTCTTACTTTACCCAAAAATAATCACTGAGAAAATCATCTTCATGGAGCATGATGTCACGGAAAGGTCGCTAAAAAGGAAGTCAGGCTTCCTGAGTCTTGACCTGATTCTGCTATCAGTTGACGGTATGACCCTGCTCAAACTACTTCACCTCTCTGGACCTTGGTTCTTCATCTGAAAATGAGGGAGTTAGATTGTTATATCACTGAGCTCTCTTACAACTGGGTCAGCCGGTGGTCTTTGGGTCATTCAGAAATAGATAAATAGAATGTAGTAGAAATGGCAAAAAAAATAAAACTAAAATTATTCTAATCCTATATCTCAGGTCAAGCGATAACTCTAACAGGGAAAAAGGAGTTACAAAATGTTTGTCTTTCATAGAAACTGACTTTGTTCCTCCTGGTTTCTTAGGGAAAGAAAACGTCTCTCTGCAAATAGTGTGCCAATGGGTGCCTTTCACCCAGGAAGGGTGGCCGCTGAGAAAGCGAATAGAAAATCCAAACTAACAAATACTGTGGCTTATTAACAATGGCTGGCACTGCCAAACAGTGAACAAATGCAGGTTAGAAAATGTAAATAATAGTGCAGCTCATTGGAAAGCCAAATTTTGTGCAGTTCTTTAAGAGAGAAAGATACAACTTACAGTCTGAAAAATGCAGAAAAAATCTCAATACTCCTCCCCACTGTAGCCATATTTTAAAGAGAAGAAAATTGAGGCAAAATGGAGCAATCTTTTGGGAACCCCAAATGGGGCTGAAGATTCTGCCCAAGTTATAGCTCTGAGTATCAGACTCCCAGGTAAACTCTTTTAGGAGACCATGACCTCTCCAGAAGCAGGTGTATCCAAATAGTCTGGCTCAAAAAACAAAAAGACATTATACCTTGAGCTCTGTTCTTCCTCGAAGCTCCATTTCATAGCCCTCACTCAGATTTTGAAGAATTGTAACAGTGCTGAGACTGACATGAATGCGATAAGCTGCAAAAGAAGGAGAGACATGATTTGAGCTCCTTTCTCATTGGTAAAATTAATGAGAAAATATCAATGTAATCCCAGCACTTTGGGAGGCCGAGGCGGGCGGATCACGAGGTCAGGAGATCGAGACCATCCTGGCTAACACGGTGAAACCCCGTCTCTACTAAAAATACAAAAAACTAGCCGGGCGTGGTGGCAGCGCCTGTAGTCCCAGCTACTCGGGAGGCTGAGGCAGGAGAATGGCGTGAACCCGGGAGGCGGAGCTTGCAGTGAGCTGAGATCGCGCCACTGCACTCCAGCCTGGGCGACAGAGCGAGACTCCGTCTCAAAAAAAAAATATATATATATATATATATCAATGTAATAAATGTCTTCACTTGTAAATGGACTGGACCATTAGCAACGTCCTGAGAGAGGTTTACTTAGGGTTTCACAAGAGGTGGAGAGGGAGTGATTGCCTTCCTCACCAGGTCCAAATAAGGCATTAGTTGTAGCACCTATCAGCCTCCTAGACACTATCTCAAATGAAAGGCCATGCAATAGAAAGGTGTTAATTTAACTCAAAGGTCGAGATGGAGAAACCAGCATCTACTGTGCTCTTGGCTGAAACGTGACGTCATTTGAAGAAAGTTTGACTTCAGCAGCTTCTTTCACAGGCTGCTACTATGGCTGAACTCTCATGCTTTACATATCTTAAGAGGCAAAAGGATGTCTTTTTCATATGCATTCTTACAATTATCTCTCAACATTGCTATACTGAAAAATAAAACATCAATGAGAAATATGCCAAGAACTCTTTCAACAAATATTTTTTGAAGACTGTACATTTATAGCTCACCTTTGGGTGGGGGCACCTAGCTGTGTCTACACATGAATGTACTATTTTCCAACCAATGATCTCAATCTGGGATAAGAGATTTACATGGGGAACTGCCACATTAAAATTTTATTTAGAACCTAAGAGTAATTATTTGATGAAGAATAATCACTTGTTCACTCAGGTAAGATCCTTGACATTTCTAAAAACTGTCACCCCATGAAGCGAGACCTTGTTGAGGTTGAGTCTTAAATAAAAGTCCAAGGCTAGTTTTCACACATGCTTGAGAAAATCATTTAAAAAAAAAAAAAAAAGCTGATTACAACCTGAGTAAGAAGGCACGGCTTGAGAGACCTGCAAGGATTTTCTGCTGCGTATACTCACAATGACGTTCTTTCTCTTGATAGCTCAGTACTGTTGTTTGTTTGTGTCTTCCTCATTAACTCATGATCACCCAAAGCCCTTATTCAAAAAAGGTTGTCCTATTCCTAAAATATACATGCCCAGCCAGTATATTCCTAGCCAGTCCTATGTGTGCATCCCATAAGCATCTGGTCTTCAGAGAACCTTTCAGTAATCTTGATAGTAGGGAACACACAGCTTAAAAGAGAGATAGCTCATACCAACGACCATCCACTTGTATGGTAAGGAGAATCACTCCAGGGCTGGGTCACAAGTCACTTCCATTCCAGAATCTCAGTGGTTTCAACTGAGCACAAAGGAGATATTGATGAAATAATGTTTTTATTAATAGATGTGTGACATATCCTGATTTCATATCCAATGTGAGGAGAGGCTACCTCTCTACAGATCTCCATTCAGTTGTGGAGCTTAATGTCATATTTGGGTCATGGTCATTAGCTTTTAGAAAAGCACATTAACCAGCTCCTTTAGCACAGAGAGCATGTGTGTATACTTCTTTGTATGCTTCACAATAACTTCCTTGCACAGTCAGTGCTTAATAAACTCCTGCTGTGGGTGATTCACTCCATTTTCTTCTTCCTAGCTGATCACTGGGCAAGGAGCTGTCTAAATCTCAAAATTCAATTTCTGGTCTCGACTTTGTATTTCCAATGTGAAATGTGTGCAGTTTTCCCTGGTTCAGACCAGAATATGACTTCAGCCTTCTACAAGCTTACATCAGTCCAGAATACTGCGCCAAATCTGCATTGCAGTTCCATGATAAATGTCACTTCATCTTGGGTTGCACTTTAAGAGTAAAATCATATGCAAAGCCATATTCATGCAGCAGTTCCTGGATGGCTACTTCCATGGCCTCTGCCATATCTAAGGAGTTTGAAGACTTTCCCAGATGTCAGAAAATTTATTCTGACAACAGCTTCTAAGGTCCATACTGCCTCCTTAATCATGGCTGCACAGGCTAGATTGACTAAGACTGGACCCATTGTGTAAGCCTGTTTCTACACATGAGTGATGGGAAGTGGGGTCAGACAGGGCACCACCCACTGTTATACAGGCCACCATAACATCAGGGACTAGTTTGAGTATATTGCTGAAGTTTGGGAAGAACTTTTCTTGCCAGAGCTAGAGCTTCTAAGGGCTTAATTGATTTCTTCCCTTTTTTGGTATAAAATCCATGAAAACTGCATATAGAATTTAATGTTATTCTCTATGCTCTTCCTATAATAGCATAAAAAATGCTTTGCTCAACCATGATATAAGCAAAAGGCACATTGTGATTCTGTAGTGGCAGTAAATAACCAAGTAAGAGTTGAGCCAGCATCTTACAAACAGACAAATGGCATATGGTTTGTACAGTTTTCTTTTCAAAGAAGCAGAGAAGAAATGGTATCTTTGATACTATGCCTGTTTTGATAGAAGCTAAGGGTTTTATATACAGGGAAGTTGCAATAAATTATTTCAGAATTCCAAGCTACTTGGATTGAGGGATTATTGCTAGCTAAGTTCTAGAGGGCTATTTGATGAAGCCAGAACTCCTGGGGTCCTAACTGGTTCAAAAAGGGGACTGCAACAGCAAACAGTAGGCAACTGGGAGGCAGCTGGCTTCAGTGTGTCTCCACAAACTAGTTGAAAAATGGAAAATGTCAGTCCCTCATGTAGTTCTTTTCTCAACATGACTCCCACAAACCCACAAGCCCAGCCAATTTTTTTCTTTACCCAAAATACTATTTTAGTTGTTTTTATCAAATTGAGTGGCTGTTTTGGTGTCACTTAGCTACAGCCTCATTTCTAGAACAAGAAAGGTACATGTTCAGTCCAACATCACCCCCTACTGGTTTGCCATTAGAGACCAGGAAAATGTGTGATAAATCTCAATCTTCTCAAATTATCTTTTATTTTTCTTTAAAACATTAAAACATCAAGTACCCTGCTCTCTTTCATGTCTGTGAAGAAGAATTACCTTCTCAATAGCAGGATGGTGCCATCCTATCCATCCCTCTATTAGGTACTCACGTAAGCCTGTTGATTCCATCCGAGAAGCTGTGTTCACAGTGTCTCCAAACAAGCAGTATCTGGGCATGGTGAGGCCCACCACTCCAGCAACAACCGGCCCTGTAGAGTAGCAGGGGGTTGGAATTACAGTCAACAGGTACGCACCCAATGCTAATAGAGGAATGGTACAAAGAGGAAGGAATGTATCTTTGTAAAAGAATAAAAGTTGCCATCATATAGCTCTGGGAATCTGAAGAAAGACATAATGAGTAATGAACTCTTTGCCCTACAAGAAAGCAAATTTATAACAGTGCAGACATGACTGCCCTTCTGATTTGTACCTTTGTTCCAAGTAACAGTTACACTCGAGATGCTTATATCTGTCAACAGGGACAAATAAGTATCAAACCCAAACCAAAAAGGCCTGGACAGGGACTCAGGGTCCAAACATGTTTGTTGTAAGGAAAAAAATGTAATTTTTCTCATGCCTTAGCGTTGGAAGAAAGACTTTCATGGGTTTATCTGGCTCCCAAACTGTGTCTATCAAGAGAATTATTCTAAAAACAAATAGAGTTCATTTTCAATTGTCTGTGTTGGGGCATGGAAAAGCAGTACGTATAAATAATCAAAGAATATTTTGCATTTAGAATTTTTTTGTTCTTACATTTTAATATGGCTGTGTTAAGTGTTCAAGGTAATTGAGAAAACTTCAGCAGCCATACTGAAAAGTCAGTTTGGGAGTATCCAGAAAGTTCTTCACCTTCACCTTTCTGGTTTCTGCTCTGATTTTTTTTTCCTAAAAAGAGATGGGGGTCTCACTATATTTCCCACGCTGGTATCAAACTCCTGAGCTCAAGCGATCCTCCCACCTCGGCCTCCCAAAGTACTGGGATTACAGGTGTGAGCCACCATGCCTGGCTTTCTGCTCTGTTTTTATGGCTCAGCACCAAGGAGAATAAAAAAGAAAAGTAACACATAGTCTTAGTTCTCCAGAAATTTATAGTCTAATTGAAGAGAAGATACTATCAAAGAGGAAGCAATTAAGCAGTAACCCAAGACAACATATGGCTGAGGCAAGAAGCACAGACAGAAGTGCTATAATAGTTCAGAAAATGGGGGGAGGTGCTTATTAGGACCTGACTCAATCAAGAAGGGTCCAGTGGAGAAGGTAGGATTTGATCTAGGTCTTGATGGGTAAGTAAGATTTGAACAGTGGAAAAGAGACATAAATCAAAGGCCTGTGGTTGGGACTGAACATGTAATTTGGGAAGCTCTTAGAGAGAACAGTCTGCCTAGTTCACATGGCTCGGGAGAAACTGGAGACAAGGTTGGATTAAGTGGGTTGTACAAGATGGAAGATCTTGAACCACTAGAGAATTTTGAGCAAGGAATTACATGATCTTCTTTCTCAGATCAGTATATAAAATGCACTGAAAGGGGAAAAAGTAAAACCAGGGAAAACCTTTAGATGGCTGCTGCAGTAATCCAAGCACAAGGTACTTAAAAGGAGGCAATGATAAGAAGTGGATGGCCACGAAGTAATAAGAGAGACATAAAAGAATCAACAGACTTGTTGGCTGTCTGATTGACAACCATGAGAAAATTGCCATGGGCTTGTGAGTTTATGCTGATTTGTGGAAAAAGATGACTTGAAGTTTTAAATATGTTAAATTTGAAATAATGGTGAACGCTTCAAGAAAATGTAGGCTGAGGGGGGTTGGAAATGTGAAACTGAAGCACAGATGACAGATGAGGGCTTTTCTCTAAAAGAAAAAATCAAACACCTGCTATGTGCTAAGAACTCTGGATACAAACATGAGTAAGATATGCTTCCTGCCACCAAGGAGCTTAAAGCCTAATAGAAGGACAGACAAGGAAACACAGATTATGCTGATGACTATGAGAAGGATGGATGGTAAGGGGCAAGAGTGGAAGCAAGAAGATGCTATTGCAGTGATCCAGGCGAGAGATGTTGGTGTCCTAGGCTTGGATTGTGAGAGTGAAGAAGAGACAAGATAGATCAATACATATTTAAAAGGTAAAGTGTTCAAGACTTAGTAGTTAGTTGAATGTTAAAGGTCAGAGTAAGGGAGGAGTCAAAGAGAATGACTCCCAAGACTAACTGGAGAAACTAGGTCAATGGTAGTACCACCAACTAAAATAGAGAATAAATATGAGAAGAGCAGGAAGTTTGTATGAGTAAAAAATAATTCTGTTTTAGATGTGTTGAGTCTAAGGTCCATGTGGAACATTCAGGTGGGCATATCAGCAGGAAGTTTGATATAGAAGGCTGAAGCTTAAGTGAGAAGACTGCACTAAAGCTGTGGAGTTGGAAGTCATTAGCGTACAAGTGGTAGTTAAACCACAGGTATGAATGAGATCACCCATGAGAGTATATAGGAGGAGAAAAAAAGTGCATCATGACAGAACACTGGACAATACCAATATAAGGGACAAATAGAGACACAGACTGTGATAGAAAATGAAAGTCAGGTTGCTGTGGGTTGAGTAATAAATTAGAGGTGATACATGCAGACAGCAAAGAGATCACAAGACTGAGAGCTTTGCAGAAAATGTTAGAGAACAGGAAGAGTCAAGAGAACCAGTAAATAAAGTGAAAAGCAGCATTCACAGAGTGAGGAGCATGTCATAAAAGCCAATTGAGAAGCATTTTAGGGAGGCTTGTCATGAATTCCAGATGCCGCAGAGGTAAAGGCAGACAAGGATTGGGGAAAGTGGTGAGAACTGAAGTCAGATTGCAAAGGAGCTAAGGAGGGACTGGACAGTGAAGAAATGGCACAGTGGATGTCATTCATTTTTTTAAAGAAGTTTGGTAGGAAAGGGGTAAAAAGGATGGGGGAAGGAAAGGAGCCTAGAAGAGCAGAGCAAAGAGAAAAAGGTAGGGAGTGGCTACAGAAGCAAGAGGAGCTAGTAGGTAATGAATATGGGAGGAAAATAGTTCCGAAGTTGGGATTTTAATTAATTAAATGAATTATCCTAACTACAAGATACACTTGTTGATTTTATAGCATAGTCAAACATGGAAATATTGCCTCTAACCAAAATGGTAGATTAAAAGGGTTTAGTACCTGGAACAAGGAGCTGCTGCCCACTGTGTTAGTGCAGGTACTGGGAGGAGAGTAAACTTGGGTAGGCATAAAGGAATTATGCAGCCCTGGACACCTAGATAATCCAGTGGCCAGGGATCAGTGGAGAGCTATCCTTTTCCCTTTCTTTTTTAGTCTTCTTAGAGGCACATGAGAATGTTTCCTTACTTTAACTGGTTATTACCTGAGTGCAGGCCAATTCTAATTCGGACTGGCACCTCTGGCATGTGCCGCATCTTGAAAGTGCCCACGGAGCTCAGGATATCTAAGGACATGTTTGCAATCTCAGCTGCATGCCTACTGCCATTCCTCTTCGGGAGGCCTGAAGCCACCATGTAGGCATCTCCAATGGTCTCTACCTGGGAATTAGGAAAAATAGAATTAACAAACAACTTATTTGTGCTTTTTTTAGCACAGAGCTGTAAGGGTATAATGGAGGCCAGGTGGTTTTGTTGTAAAGTGAGAAAGGCAGAGAGGGACTGTCAATGATCCACAAGTCTGGCTGCATGTTAGAATTGCTTAAGGAGCTTTATTAAAAATACTGAAGTCTAGGCCCCACACCAAGAGATTCTGAAATGAATATAGCTACCTCACAGGCTCCTGATTGACCTTAGAAAAATACCAGGCTCTGAGACATTTGTGGGGAAGAGAAAAGGGAGATTTCTAGGACTGTCCCTAGGGTGTCCATGGGGGAGCATCTTAGGAGAAGGTGGCTATGATGCTTCCCAGCAAACGTTTCTATAGATTATTTGGGGTAAATAAGCTAGGGTAGCCTTAAGGAAAATATAGGGAAAGGGAAAGGAAGAACAAGCCTGTTCCCTCTGCTTTGCCTTGCTAGTATGATGAAGTTAGTTTTGCTGGCCTATTGGGTATAAGAAATTAGTCTCTTCCCACCAGTTACCTCCTCCTCTCCTACTACTACCTCCCTGAGGAGCAGCAGTACTGGCCCTCAACTGCTTTGCAGGGGATGGTTAGGGCTGGACACTTGAAAAAAAGGGAAATCTATGCTCCTCGCCTTCCCCACAGAAGTGTGCTCACTGTTTTAGATAACCAGTAAGTTGAAACTTTTCGGGTAAATCCAGAAAATAACTAAGCTGAAGGGACTTTTTATGAAATGTGCCAGTCAGACTGTGTTACTACAAGTTTGAATCCAGTTAAAACCCATGTGTTCCTGGAGAAATGCACCCACAGAATACAACAGTTAAGAACATGAAACTCTGAAGTTATACCATCTTGGTTAGCATTTAAGATTCAACATTTGCAAACTGTGTGGCCATGGGTAAATCACTTAATCTCTCTGTACTTCAGTATCCTTATCTGTACGATAGTGTTAATGATAGTAAAAACTTCATAGGGTTTTCCAAGGAATAAATAATTTAATATATGTCAAAGCATTTAAAACCTGCCTATTAGATAATATATATTTAGTTCAAGCTATCACCATCATCATCATCATCATTATCAAATAGGTATGTCTCGAAACTAGCCTTGGAACTGTGGGTATGATTCAGCTCCAGAGAAAGAAGTTTAGCAATCAGCAATAGGCTCTTCATCATGAATTTCTATAGCCAATAACAATGATCCTTTCAATCTATAGGACTTTCTGCCTCAAAATGTTTCCATCCAAGGTCTCCCTTACCTTGTGCAATCTGAGGAATGGATACCTGCCCTCACGTAGGCATGCCAGCCTGCACACAGGAGGGAAGGATTACCATGTAAATGCTATATGGAAGGGGAAAGTCAGTGGCTGGCCATTATCAGAGATTAGTGGTTGACCCTTTAGCTTTGATGAGTCAGTCACCCAGGAGGCCCCAAGGATATGGATGAGGAGATTAGAAGAGCAGGGAGCATGGGCATGCATGGTCTTGGTGTGCAGACTGCTGTGGAAAATTGTGGGTTGCTGTGGAAATTATCAGTCAACATAAGGATGCTGAGAGGGAAAAGGAGGTTTAGAAAGGGGTGCGATTGAGATGCAGATACTGGCAGGAGAACTGAAACGGAATCACTAACTTCACAATTCTATAGTAGCCCTCCATTTCAGATTATCCATTCCATTTCAGATTATCAAGTACCAGGGGGCGTGATTCAAATTTTACAGGTAAAGAAAATGAAAATACAAATGAGTTTGGTCATTTGCTGCTGGTTCAATTTTTATTTCCTTTGCACTGTGTCATTTTTAATAAACAGGGCTGAAAAAAATAAATTTCATTTTTGGATTTATATAGCCTTGCTCTGTTCTGGGAACAGCCCATTAACTCCCTACTGCAACCATTAAGTACCAAAATATCTAATAGCCTATTGGTAAGACCCCCAACAATTGTCTGAACAGAATCAGCTGGATTGATTAAACTGGTAGCTGTGTTACAGCCCACGCTGAATCATCTTTGATTTTAGTTTCAACTGAATTAGCTTTCAGTGATTTGTTTTTCTCTTCAGGCTGCTTGAGTTCAACAAGTTAAGACAGGTACTCTGATTCCATGGATTTTTCCTGCATCGTGGTTTCCATGTGTGCTTCTTGATTAGCTTGTAGCTCCTGCTGATTGACAGGTATGATGTTTATTTCTGAGCCCTATTTAGGTGGCTTGGCCTAGCCCTGAGGCTCCCTATCTGACCTGAAAAGGCCCTGTCTAATCTGAGATAAACACACTTTCTTGTGTGTGATTTGAGAGCTAGAACATTTCAGACTACTGTGAAGAATCCAATGAATGGAGCTACTCATTCTCCAGCTCTACTTTGGTCCTGGGATAGAGAAGCTGTCTAAAGTTTAGGATGCCTGGGGCATCTTTCTTCTTCAATAAGACAAGTATCCATGATGCAGACAACGTAGAAATGTCCCTGCACAGCTTTGAGATTTTTAGTCATGTTTTGCCTAGAGACAAGACAACATATGTAAACAAAGGTAAGGAAGCATGGCACCAAAATTAGTCAATGTAGTCATTTTGCAAACTCTAATAGAGTGACAATTCACAGGCTGGAGGAGTGAGAGAAGGTGGGAACAGGGGCTTGCCACCCCGCAATTAATCACTTCCCCAGACCTCAGACCAATAGGCAGCCTTTCAGTTACCCTGTAGCAATCCCAAAGAGCCTTGAGTCTAATATTTCTCTGCTGTAATGCCAAGTTCTCTCCCGTATAAAACAGTACCTGAAGGAGGAGACCAAATTTTTATAGCATGTATTAGATCTACACAAACCTTACCAAGAACTCTGTAGCAGTCACCAACTATGGGCAAAACACCAATACTTCCTCTTTATCCCCTTCAGTGCCTAGTACAGTACTGCCTACACTATGAGTACTCAGCCACTGATGTGCAATAACTCTCTTGGTCCCAACATCTTCTTAGTCCCAATTCTAGAAAAAAAGTTCAAAAGAAATCTGACTGGCAATCTTTTGCTGGGTTGAAAGTTGTTATTTTGTAAATTGGGAAATTACATGCATTCTACCTGGCTTTCATTTCCAGTGACATACCAAGGGAAGGGGTGTACTATTTAATTTTTTATTCCTAAATAACAATATTCCATAAATTTTATTCTTCAATTTTGGAATACACATGGATGGGCCTCATGTAAAAATTTCACTATGGAATATATTTTCCTGCTAATTAACCTACCTTGTAGACATCATGACTGCCAATTATTGCATCAAATAGTGTGTATAGGTCATTCAGAAGATCCACCACCTCAATGGGCTCACTCATGGCTGAAATGGTTGTGAAGCCCACAATGTCGCTGAAGTACAAGGTGACCAAGTCAAAGCCCTCAGGTTCAACTGTGCAGCCCTTTTTGAGAGATTCAGCAACTGATCTGAAAAGCAGACACAGCTATTCCTAAGATGACACTGGTCCCCCTTCATGCCACATCCACCTGCTAAAAATACACCAAATAAACCTCTAAAAATCACTGCTAATAAATGATGAGGAAGAAAGTGTTACATTGATGAAAACATTAATTCGTTCATTCATTCTACATATAAGTTTTAAGTGCTTACAATGGGTCAGGAACTATGCCAGGTGCTGGAATACAGCACTGGATGAACCTGGTCTGTGCCTTCATGTGGAGGTTTTTCAGCTCTCTAAACGCCTAACTCAGACACCTGGGGAATGCTCCCAGGTGACTGCCCTTTCATGAGGTTAGTTTCCTTAATTATATCCTAGAAGATCACGTTACAACATAATAAGTAAGGTGCCCTGGAAAACTTGGAAATTTTAGCAACAGATAAGGTTTTCAGCTAAGAGAGGAAAGACCTGGAAAAACGACCTTGCTACTTTCCTCTAGGAGCTCAAAGAACTGCTTTCTTTTAATCAGTCAACCTCCTAGGAAAGTCACGAAGTGATATACAGAAAAATCAAGGCACAAAAACTTAAATGACCAGCATGATCTACAGGTAGTGGAAATTAGGATGTGTGCTCTGCTCCCTTGGTTTCCAATTTTACTTTGATTTGAAGGTGTGACTCAAGTCCACTAGAGGGTGCAGGACAAGGGGAGGGAGCGGTTAGTTGATGGGTAATTTTTTCTTTCTTTTCTTTTTTTTTTTTTTTTTTAACAGAACACACTGTTATAAAGATTCACACTCCTCAGGTGTTCTCACATACGGCGGTAGCATCTGTGTTAGAAGCTTTTCCGTTTTCTGTTTTTCAATTTCCAGCTCTTCAGTCCGCTCCCGAATCAAATCTTCCAAGTTGCTAGAATATTGCTCCAACATCCGAAGCATAGAATCAATGATATTTGTCTTCTTCCCTTTATTAAAAGTTTTAAACTGGAAGTAAAATAGAAAAGGGAACCAGAAAATGCTTATTCCTCAAACTCAGAGATGATGGAGCAGGTCCCCTTATCACAAATCCATTCCACTAAAATGCCAGGGCAGGAAAGGTGAACCCAGATATAAATAGGAAAAGTCACCACCCATCCTCACTGTCACCCTGACCCATTTACAGGGCACTTCCAGTGCACCTCTGCCCCCTCCCCATCCCCGCACACCAGTAGTTCTTCCCCTACACTTCTGGTTCTTTCAAGCCTGAGCAAAAGTGCTCTGAGCAGGCTCCTTCAGTTCTGAGATGCTATTATATGCATAGTAGCCACTTCTAAGACAACAGGATTTGGTCTTGAGCCCAGGCCAGTTGTGTGTGAGGTAAGGGGAAAGAGGGCCGAAAGTGCCGTTTTACTCTTCTGGATCATCAGTCTACTAAATCATTCTTATCCTCAAATGCCACTGTGTTGCCAGTTTTTGAACAGTGAGAGGCTCCTTGACCTCTTACAGAGGGCTCAAGATCCACATGATAAAATCAACCCCTATTTCTTACCATGGAGGTCCAAGAATAGGGGTGTCCTCTAGCACCTGTCCTTCGGTCAGTCAGAGTGATGTAAAATTCAACTGATTTTGCCCCCATTCTATGCCCTAACGCCTTAGAGATGCCTGCATGTCATGAATTTTCAATATGCCTTTTTGGGACCTTGTCTATCTACAGTAACAGGGAGCTAGGCATAGTATTAGAATCATGAGGGGTAGCCCCTCTATACTGTTATAGTCAACATGCACATGACTGTGTTCACAACAACAAAAAATCGGAGGCGGTTTTGCTAAGCAGACATCTAGGGCTCTGTACCAGTGAACCTTTTATATATAGCTGGGCCACACATGCTCCACCTAGCACCCAATGCCCCAAGGCCAACACTAGGAGTTTCCCTTCTGAGCCTGGTTCACATCCGCAGGTTCATCAAAGTCCTGGGGATAACCTTGTAGCCAGTTTAGATCCTTTGGGCTCCCCCTATTGCCTAACCCAGGGAACCTCCCTCTCCTCCTCCTCCCACTTAAGTGTTATTAACTGCAGGAAGTTAGGAGGCTAGCCTTGTCATCAGACAGCCTAAACTTCCACTGAAGCATTTTAGTGAGGGCAGCTATAGCAATGTCTTGTTTGAAAGTCTCATGATGTACACTCCCCCTATCTATCACTGGCTTCTCTGCTGCCTTCTGAAATAACATCTCTAGCATCAACACAGGGGCAAATGCTCTTTCTCCTGCCTCATGGTAAGGTTTCAGAAATTTGACCTTCATGGTCCTTCGCCTTTTCCATACTATTGAACACCTGTTTGAGTGTCCTCAAGAAACTTAGCCGGGCTAATGGAGGCATTGTTAGCTGGGGACACGGATGACTTCATAAGCAGGGCCCCTCAGGCTTTCAATTCAACTCTTTCTTTCTTTCCGCCTCAGATACCTGCCACTCATAAAGCATCTCAGTGCTGTACTCCAGCCAGGCACAAAAGCCTCTCTGCCAGAGCTGACACAGCACTCATGGTGAGCACCCTCAGTTTTGGTGTCCTGTAATTTCAACAAAGCCTAAACCGCATGCTCCAACATTGGAATTGCACCTTAGTTTCCACAGCAGGGCCCACTCTGTCCTTTCCTTCACTCCCCTTTCAATCTCCACCTCTAGGGAAAGAATCACCCTCTTTAGAAATTCAGTATCTTAAGGAGGAAGGTTATCGCTTTTCATGTACCCCATTGCCTGGGAACTTAAGGAATTTCCTGCTTTTGCACGCCACATTTGCACTTTCTCTTTCTTCCATCTTGAACACCAGAGTTGAATACCAGAGTTGAATACCAGAGTTCTCTGGTATCCGCAAAGTAAACATGGCTCTGTGAGGAGCCCCATCTATTCCATGATACCCATCATCTAATAGTTTCAATGCCATTGCCTTACAAATGCCTAATGGTTCAATTCCATCTCTGAAAGGTTGATTAGGTCAGATTGTGGATGGTCAGGAACAGAGCTTCAGACACAGAAGAACACTAGAACCAATCTTTGGGCTCTTGGAGGATGTGCTGATGACACTCCAGCACCAAGAGCCTCAAAGTAGCCACTCCCAGGCTGTTTCTCCGAGAGGAGTGCCCTTCCCCCTTGCAAGAGGTTCCTTCCACAATATGACAAGGACCAAGGAGTTAGCCTTGTGTAGGTTGACTTCAGGAAGGCTCCTGGGCAATGATAAGATTCAGAGTCCTTACCTGGTTAAATATTTCATCAAACGTTGGTCGTTGTTCTGCAGCCTCAGCCCAGCACTGCTTCATCAGCTGGAGACATTCTGGAGGGGCATGCTCAGGAGGAACTACTGGTCTGTACACAGGAGGAGGCTTCTTAAGTCTGTTTATGATTTCTGTCCAGATGCAAGAAGAGAAAGGTTTACAAATCATGGAAAAAAGGACCAAGATTTGGCAAAGATAACTGACTTTTAGCCAAGAATGGGGGTAGGTTAGCAGATAACACAGAAGGGCCATCTCCTTTGCTCTCTCCTTAGGTGACCTGAATATAGATTATATTTGAGCAAAAGCTGCATCAGGCAATGGGGGAGGAGTGAGATATTAATCAGTTGGACTCTTGGTATCATTTAGGTGCAACTTTATTCTGTTTCTGCTAGGTTTTAGATACTGCCTATCTGATGTCAACTCTAATGCTCTAACTTCAGTGACCTGGCTCCCCTCACCCATCCCCAATCATCTAAGCCATCCAATCCCCACAATAGACCCACTTAACTTTCCTTACAAGCCCAGGCCCAGCCCAGGTCCAGGTCTCTACCTTGTGTCTAGGCAAAGGGAATTAAGAACTACAGTAAACAGTTCAAGGCCTCATCAAGATCCTCCTGGTTGATGGTCCATGAACTCCACTTCCAGTAGAATATTTCCTATATACCGGTAATGTGCTGAATACTTTGCATGCATTATTTCACTGGATTCTCACATACAAACAGGTGAGGTAGGCACTCTTATTTTAATTTTATAGCTAGGGAAACTGAGACATGAAGAGAGTAAGTAACTTACCCAAGGTCACATGGCTAGAGAGTGACAGAGTTCAAATTTGAACCCAGGCAATCTCAATCTGCTACACTGTCCTGCTTCCAAATGTCTCAGACTTCAACTGGGAATTCTTAGACTCCCTATTCAGACCCAACAGCCATTAGTGACAAAAGGTCTGGAGCAGTCACACTGACCTTTTTACAAAAAGAAAACTCCCTGGCAGCAGGGGAAAAAAATCGTTATCTCTCAATATCCCCAGCAACCCACACTGGACCTCAAACTGATCTCTCTGCTTCCAACCTACCCTTCTCCAAACCTTTCCTAAAACCCAGATCTGGTCATGTCACTTTCTTGCTCAAAAGCCTTTTATGACTCCCCATCACCCACAGAGTAAAATCCAGGCTCTTGTCCTATCTCTTCAGGCTCATTTCTCATCTTTAGTCCCCTCCCCACCACCTCCAATTCTAACTTTCTAACTGCCACATCAGGAACCAAGCTTTGCTTGCCCCACCAGTGTGACCTTCCCATTCCTGAATTGGCTATAACACTCCAACAGTGCCGCTTTACCCCTGATACGAGCCCCTTGCCTCCATAAAAGAATTCCAGTTGTTGCCTCTGACTTCGCAGTTCCTTGTGACATCACACATTCCGTTCCTTTAACCCAGGTCAGGCTGTACCAGTAATGGTTCCTCCATTACAGCATCGTGCTCTCAGTACAACAGATTCCATGAGAATGTACTCCTTGAAACTTGACTGCCTCATCCATTCTCTGGCAGATGGAGTCTTTGTCCCTTTCTCAGAACACCATCAAGATGAATGGGCCACCTCTCTGCTTAGGCACAGCATGATTCATGCACTTGAGGATCTCACAGTCCAATTGCAATAAACAATGGCAAACAATATAAGTGCTCTAGCTGAGACAGGCACTTGTGAGTACAGAAAAGGCACCTGACCCACACTAAAGAAGGTTTCCCAGAGAAGGTGACATGAGTTGGATGAGGCAAGGTTGGGAGGAGGTGGGAAAATTCCACCTCCTAGTATGTGAAAAGGCACAGAGATGGGAGAGACCATGATACTTTCAGGGCCCTGCCAGTCATGTGGTTTAGCTGGGATATAGAGGGTGACAGAAGATAAGCCTCGAGAGGTAGCTAGGGGCCAGATTGTGAAAGGCCTTGTATGTCATGGGAGGAGTCTCACCTTCACTTAACAAGTGATGAGGAACTGTTGGAGGGCTTTAAGTAGAGGAATGATGTGGAACCCTGAGTGGGACACAGCCTAGCTAAGTGGTTTTAGTTTTTCTTTCTTTTTCATTTTTAAAAGATTTTATTCTGAAAAAAATTAAACTTCCAGAAAAGTTTTAAAAATAGTACAATTTCCTGTACACCTTCACTCAGCTTCCCCTATTGTTAATAACTTACAGAACCATAGTACAAAGGAAATTAACATTTGTACAATAATATTACTAAGGTTCTTATTTGAATTTCATCAGTTTTCCCTTAATGTCCTTTTTCTGTTCCACAATCCAATTCAAGATCCCATATTGCATGTAATTATTGTCTTTGTCTCTTTCGGTCTGTGATAGTTCGTCATTCTTTTCCTGTCTTTCCATTCTTTCCTGTCTTAGATACTTTGGATTAGTCCTAGCTACTTATTTTGTAGAATGTCAGCTGGGGTTTGTCTAAAGTTTTCTCATTATTAGATTGAGGTTGTGTATTTTTTTTTTTTTTTGTCAAGAATAACACCAAGGTGACATTGTGCCCTTCTTAGTGTATCATGTCAATGGGTATATGACATGGGTGTGCTGTATTACTGGTAATAGCTTATTATTGGTAATCTTGATCGCTTGCTTAAGGTGGTGTCTACAGGATCCTCTACTTGTAAACTCTATTTTTTCCATTTGCAATTTGTAAGTATCTTGTGGGTTCATACTTTGAGAATATACAGATATCCTGTTTCCCCTCAAAGTTTTGTCTACTGATTTTGTCATTATTGATGGATATTGCCTAATAGCCAAGTGTCTTGGTGGGAGATTAGGATGGAAGCCTGGGGCATGTCACAGGGAAACAGTGGTAGGGCCTTGACATCCAGAAGCATCATGAGGGATACTAAAATACTTGGCAGAGTGTCTCAAAGGAGTAGAGGGGACTGTGAAATTAAAAAGAAAAAAAAAAAAAAGGATTGGCATCAGTCCTGTAGGCCCTTGGCTTATGTCACAGTCTGAAAAAAAGACCAGCTTCTTGGGTGGGGGAATTTCTTCCAGATGCCTAAAGCTGTCTGGCTATAAGTCCCACCTGTACATAACTTGAGCTGCTTGCAGACTATCAGGCTGTTAGCACTAACACTCTTCTGGAAAATCATGACAGCCTGAGTTGGTCTGATGATCTCGGCCATGGTGGACCCCTGGGGCCCTTTTCTCACCTCCCGCTTACCTTGAGCAGGCAGATCCATCATGCAGAATGGGGTACCCCGGACCATCACTTCTTGCATGATGATGGCAAAGCTGTAGACGTCTCCTGCAAAAGAACCTAACCTGCCGCCTCTTGGGGTTCTCAACAGTTCAGGGGCAGTCCACAGCAGCTCTAAAAAGAAAGCATTGTGTAATGAATGCAGGGAGGATTAACTGACGACATCTGCAATGCCCTTAAGGGCTCAGAGGGTACTGTTTTATTGACTGCCTTATATTTTTATTAGACAGACTGCCATGCTAGTGCCCCCCATTCCCCCAGGTCTGAATCTATTCTTCTAAGGAATTATGAACAGAGAAAACATACTACTCTCTCCACCCCAGAACCATGCAGGCAGACACAGCAGCAATGTGGGAAAGGACGCAGAAGCTAAAAGTATAGAAATTCTCTGGTGCTTGCTTTCTTGAGCCTGCAAGTAGCAGTTGGCAGGTTTCCAGGGAAAGGCAAGTGTGCTACCACACTGGTTGCCATGGATTTGTTGTTTGCTGAGATCTATATGTGTCTGGTAATTTGATTGTGCTGGGGCTAAGAGATTCACAAGTTGCTTTCTCTAGGTCTCCTCTAAAAGGATTAGAGGAACACCAACCTTCCTGCTCCTTGCAGTGCAAAAAGGTGCAACAATTCCTTCAACTCAGTTCTGCAAATATTTATTGACGGTCTACTAGGTACCACACACTGTGCTAGGTGCAGAGGTGGTGCCAGAGATGAATCAAACTTGAGGAGTTCACAGACCAGTAGGAAACACAGACATATGCACCCCTAACTGCAATAAAAGAGAGGGAATGATGAGGGCCACTATATAGTAAAGGGAAATGAATCCAGTAAAGGTCAAAGTCCAACACCCATCGTGTGCTCTGCTTCATTTCAGGCCCCATCAGGGACAAAAGACTATTTCTGCGTTCAGAGTTTATGGCAGTGAGAATGTCAGAAATTTTTCTTGGGGGGGCACTGTAAGCAATATATAAAGAAATGTAATTTAACAATAGAAATATGGTACTCAAAAGCTGGAGGAAGAGTGTTTTAGATTGAATTATATAAAGTTACCATTTCTGTGAATCAAAAACAGTTAGATATTGGCAATTTCATCAGGTTCAAACTAATAAAAAAAAAAAAACTGAGCTGAGCAAATTAATCCAGGAAGACTTCCTGGAAAAGTTAAATTTTAAATGTGCTTGTTAGGAAGGTCAAGGATGCAACTTTCTGGAGCTGAGAAGGTAAGGGCTTTTCAGGGAGAAAGAACAGCATGTGCAAAAGAACAAGAGGCAGAAAGGAGCAAATTGCGGCGGGGGGGCGAGGTGGTGGTAAGCAGATTAGCTTGGCTGAAGAGAAGCACTCTGTTAAGGAATAATGAGAAATGAGAAGTGGGGTTGATGAAGTGGGGGAGGGCGGGTGGCTGGAAGAATGGCAGCAGAAGGTGAGAGGGCCTGAGAGCCAAATGAAGGCATTTGGAGTGAATACAAAAGGCAGTAGGGGTGCTGGAGCTGGAGAGGGATTTGATGAAAGCCCTGTTGGGGAAGATTAATCTGGCAACATGCACAAGCTGGATTGAAGGAGAGAGGCTGGAATCAGGGAGACCAGCTAGGAAGTCATTGCAGTAAGAGCAGGTAGTGAGGTGAGAGGAGCCTAAATGGGGGTGGGAGTAGCAGCAGCAACACAGGGAACCAGAAACATTGGAAGGCTACAATGGAGAAAGCAGTGACAGGGCTAAGGATAGGCTCCCTGTGCCTTGAGAATGAGAGGGAGTTGGAGTAAACAACAAGGTGACATCTAGATAGTGAGGCTGGAGACAAACATCTGCTAAGAGTGAGGGTATCAGGGGGAAAGTAATGGCTAACTTTTCATCTTGTTAAATTTTGGGTATTGGGAAGAGAGTCCAAGAAACAAAGTACTATGAAATAGGAAGAAGGGTAAAAGGTGAGATATTATTTTTGGTTTGTTAGCAAAACCCAGGAAAGAGAACTCCACCATGGAAATTCTTATTTTCAGCCAATCCTGATCAAAATGGTGAAATAAGAAATTCCAGCTTCACCACCAATCATGCACCCATCTTCTCTCTTTGCTCTTTAAGCGTCCCCAGCCTTTGTCCCCCAACCAGGCCCTTCTGAGCTTCCACCCACCATCCACTACTCACCTACACCCATGAAAGTCTCCAACACACTCACTATAGTGATTTTGCCCCTATGTCTCCCTACCTAGGAAGATTTATATTTACAAATCAAACGGGAAACAATGAATGATAGTTTAATGACTGAATGTCAAAGGAATACATTTATGGTTGTGGGATTTTAGGCACCATGGCTTTGGAGAGGAGTGCAAGGGTGAATATTTGACAGCAAGAAAAATGGCATGTGGCTGCTTCTTTTTGACATCCTTTCTCCCTGCACATTTAAAAGCACAAGATGGAAAAAGAGAGCAAAACTCTCTGGTAAAAGCTGGGTGATTAAATACAATCATTACCAAATAGTATTTCCAAAGAGCACTTACATGTATGTTGTTAATGGCTATAATGAGGCTTTTCTGCACTATACTTACATAATTGAAAGCGGACAGTAATGAATACACTTACAACCCACCCCCATTTCCTCATCTCCACTCCAGAACCAAGTAAGAGCCACTAACTACCATTAGAGTTGAACTCTCGAGAAAACTAGAGAAATTACTTTGGCTTGTTTTTTATCTGCTGGAGCCAGTATTAACTCTGAGCTTTGCTAGGGCGATAGAATTGACTTTGGAGAGCTACTGCGGTATAGTATAAAAGAACACAGAACTGGAAGTCTAGAGACCTGAGTTCAAAATCTTAGGTTGGCCACTAAGTAGCTTACCTTTCTGAACCTTGGCTTCCCTATCTATAAAATGGAAGTTGAGTCAGATGACATCCAATGGCCTTTCAATTATAAGATTCTTTTAGCCTCATCATCTAAGGTAGGGAGACAAGTTCCTTTATTTCATTTTATTTTGTTCTTTTGTTGATTCAACAAATATTCTATCAGGAACTATGAAAGGCACTGAGAGAGGCAAACCTGTTTCCTGCCCCCACAGAGCTTGTAGTTTGGGTGGGGGGAGAGAAGGCTAATTGAATGAGTAATGCTAATGGACTACGGTCTCACAACAAAGTTCAGGGCCCTGAAGGATCATAAAGAGGGTAACCTAGCCCAGCATAGGGGTCATGGAAAGCCTCTTGAGGCAGTGGTACTTAAGTTGAATGCTGAAGAAGGAGTAGAATTTAGCCAGACCCAGAAGAGTATATGAAAGAGTGGGAAGAGAAGAGTGTCCCAGGCAGAGGACACAGCTTGTGTGGAGATTTGGTAGTAAGAGACAGCCTGGGGTAAATAAACAACTAGAAGGAGTTCAGCATGGCCAGAGCATAAAGACAGAGGGGGAGTGGTTAGTATGGGAGGTCAGCAAGTTCCAGGCCATGCGGGGCTCAGCTCGTAAACCGTGTAAAGGAATTTGAACTTTATCCTTAGAGCAATGGGAAGCCATTCAATAGATTTAGGCACAGCTGTAACATGATCAGATTTGTGGTTTAGAAAGCTCCTTCTGGCTGCAGTGTGTGAAGAATGGACTGACCATCCATACTGCCACTGCAATTTGGAGAATGGAGTAAAATGATAAGAGGGAGAGACAGAGACAGAGACAGACAGACATAGTCCCCTCAGAAGCACAAAACCAGAAAAGAGAGTCCTGCAGCTATCTTTTACCCACCTTAAGACTAGATTTTCTTAAGTTTCAAAGCTGCCAATCTGGAAATTAAACAGAACTCTGAGAAGCTAGGCATTGTTGTTTGTTTGTTTGTTTGTTTGTTTGTTTTCGAGACAGAGTCTCATTCTGTCACCCAGGCTGGAGTGCAGTGGCACAGTCTTGGCTCACTGCAACCTCCACCTCCCGGGCTCAAGCGATTCTCCTTCCTTAGCCTCCCAAGTAGCTGGGATAACAGACGCGTGCCACCATGCCTGGCTAATTTTTGTATTTTTAGTAGAGATGGGGTTTCACCATGCTGGCCAGGCTGGTCTCAAACTCCTGACCTCGTGATCTGCCCGCCTCAGCCTCCCAAGGTATTGTGTTTTATAGAGAATTGATTTTGACAGAATGCTAAGTACTTGCCATGTCTACAGGATAGGGGTCAGACTTCAGAAAATCTGAATTTGAAGTCCTAGAACTGCTGCTAAGTCACTGCAGGTTTGGAGGAAATCATGAGTTTCAATTGTCTCATCTGTAAAAGGAGGGAATTGGACTAGACAACTCCCTAAATTTAATAACCCACAAGTCTTATAAAGAGCAAAGATGATACCACCAATGACTGGATTCTCTGTCTATGCATGTGTGTCTCCCTCTCTATGTGTCTTTCATTCTTCTTTTCTTTTATGTAGTAAAGTCAGCAGTTTAAAAACGTATGCCAAAGATAATTTTAAGAATATGGATATATGATGTAGTTTTGCATCTCTCTCTCTCTCTCTCTCTCTGTCTTTTTTGGGCTGTTTGCTTTTCTGTCTTTTTGTGTCACTATCTCTCTTCTTTATGCTTGCAATATTGGTTAAAACATTTAACGCCCACATTTCCTATATGTATTTCATCATATTTGTTCTCTTTCTTTTTTCCTCTTTCTCTCTCTCATCTAGCTGCTCATTCCTCCCTGGTTCTCACCCACCCACCCCCCATCTCAGATTTCTCCTATTTCTTTGATCTGTTATGACTCCTACAGGCATTGTTTAGTGCTACCATTGGTGCACTAGACAGAAGACAAAAACACAAAATGGACATTGTTGGTGTGAACATTGATGATATGAACTGGAGTTATCTTATTACATCCAATTAAATTGGAGTCCAGAGACCACAGGAGAAAAAGAAAAGCACTTGGGGTACAAGTGTCTGCCCAGGGATAATCTTGCAAGCCAGATGCCGAAATGACCTTCTATAATCTTAATAGCCAGATGCCGAAATGACCTTCTATAATCTTAATATCAGTTTTACCTAGTAGCTAATGAAACAAACTTCCATGACTCTAAGACTAGTTTTACCTACGGCCATCACTTACCAATCGGAGCTTTCCTGCTCCCCAAAACTTTGGTAGTGCCAATGAGTTTTCTTTAAAAAACATATATAACATTTCTCTTTCCAATAGAACCCCCAACTTTTCTGTGTTCTTTGGACATACCAAGGACCACCCTGGTCTATGTGCATGCCACAAATTGAAATACTGTTTTCCCAAATAAAATGTTTCATTTAAAGATTTGTCTCTATATTTTTATTTGACTTTGAGACAGGCAATGGCTACTTACTCGCTAGAAGGCCACAGTTCTGCCTGAAGCCTTCCCACATAACCCATAGAGCATTTATTTGCTGAGAGATCACTCCTCAATTCTTCCTCTCTGACAGAGACAGTGCTGGTATGCTCTAGTGACATCCCATTCTAAAATGTACTTTGTGGGGGTCCAGCTTCCAAATTACCCTCCATTCAACTTGACAAGTATTTATTGAGCACCTACTGTGTGCCTAGTGCTCAGCAAGTTTTTCCAGGGACTGCTGGGGTCTCCAAACAATACAGCCTAATCCTGCCACAGCAGGAACTGAACATTATTACACTGGCTTTGTTCAGAAAGCTAGGCTGGGCCGAAGTTACAGCGGGCCTACTTCATTCAAGTCCCTTGGCTTGGAAATGAGTCTGGATTTTCAACAAAAGTGGAGAGTTGAAATCAGCCTGAGGCTTTAATTCAGTGCATATTTTCATTTGAACTTTGGAGTTACCTCATGTGCATCAGAAGGGTACAATTCATCGCTTACCTTCCACACAAGATTCCCCTTCAGAGAGTCTCAGCATTTCTAAGATGTCGTTAAAGCCATAATCTGTCACTTTTAGTACAAAACGCCCATCTACCACACAGTTTCGAGACTTTAGCCTCCCATGAACAAACTCTCTGTGGTGTAAGTACTTCATGCCCTGTAGATGACACAACAGGATTTATTTAGCAACTCATTTAACTATTTTGTGCTTTTAATACCAATTTCTTAGATTGTTAATGGCGTGAGTTATTATGATCCAGAACTCAGCTGTTTTCTCTTCTATGCAGGCAAAGTAAACCTTTGACAACATGAGTCAGTTTTCAGATCCCTTGTAGCTCCAAAATTTTATGTTTTGGTGAAGAATGTTATCTTGTGTGTACAGAGAATTACGTGTTACTAGGAGATTTATTAACATTTCAGATACAGAATACATCCATATGCATATAATTGCCAGGAATTTGGAGAATTTCCCCCAGAAGTTCTAACCCACTCTCACCCATTATTGGCAAGAATGGAAACTGGGACAAACTTGTGCATGGGCAGTTTGGCAATAGCTATCAAAATTATCAAAATTTAAACTATATGTACCCTATGATCCAGGGGTTCTACCTCTCCTCCAGAGAAATGCTTGCATGTATACACAAAGAGACAAAGATAAGACGGCTTGTTGTAGCTTTGCTTTTATAATAGTATATAATTAGAAATGCACTAAATATCAATAAGGGACTGGCTAGAGTGTGATACATTCACACTAGGGAATATTCTACAGCACTTAAAAAGAATAAGATAGACCTGTATGTAGCTGACATAGAAACAACTCTAAGCCATCAAGTAAGTGAAATATAGTAATTGCAGAACTATGTGAGAGCATGTATATTTAACAAACAAAAAAGTCATCTATAATGCTATAATGCATATAAATACACATGAAATTAATTACAAGGTGGTTGCCAAATTGTTAGCAGTAGTTAACTTTGAGGGGGAGTATGAAGAAAGAGGGTTGAGTAAATGTATTTTTCTAATATATATCATTTGAGTTTTACATTTAATATATTATTTTTGTATTTAAAAATAGGCAACCAGAAAGAAGAAAGCTGTCTAGTACTGATCTCTGCACTTGCTTGGCAACCTTTACAAGGTTTTCAAATGTGACCAGGACTCTCATTCAGATGGATTTATTCATTCTGCATATACATACATTTATATTCTAGTCCAGTCATTTCAGAACTTTGTTTGCTAAAAGTCCTTTTAAGTATCTGGCTCTTTTGCAGTGTGACACCCCTTTGTACTTGGAATTATTTTCACCCTGTGCTCTTGGATAGTCTGCACTCTTCAGTACTTCTGAGTAGAGTCTACAGTGGGCAAGATTCCCCCCATGTTGTCTAACGGTTGCTTTTCATTTATCATGGCCTTGAGAGGATTGTCATTAGCGGCTCCTCCCTTAACTCACTGGGCTTAGCTTACAGTGTGAGCAGAAAAAGTACTAGAATAAGAATCAGGAGATTTGGATTTTATTATCAGCTCCACCACCTAATAGTTGGCTGAGAAATATTTATTGAGTACCTACTATATGTGCCAGACACTCTATAACAACGTGTACCTCATTTAGCCTCCCTGAGTCTCTGTAAAAGGAGGCTAATCACACCTATCTTAAAGGGAATTGGCATGAGAGAATGTCTTTCCCTTTCAAGGCCCCTGAAAAAGGATTAGGCTAGCAGAAAAAGATCAAGACTATGATCAATATGCAAGAAGCCCAAAAAGTCATTGATTATGCAGATCAGCCCTGTAAAAAATGCACATATACACAATTTGCATATCATTCCGTGGCATTCATGGGACCCCCAAAAACTCCTCCATGGGACTCATCTATGAACCCTACCTTGGCTGTCAGGAGTCTTTGGCTCAGAGAATAAAGGTGATCCTTGATAGATCCACTGGTCTTTTGGTTTTCCAGTGGCACTGAGTTCCACATACACAGCCATGGTGTGTAAAGACCTGTCACCTAGTTCTAGACTGAGCCACCATTTAGAAGGGTGAAAACTAGGAGGTAGAGCTAAGTAGCACCAAATAATCTGGGAATGAGCACTTTCTCACATCCACAAAGCAGAGAAATTGGATGAAAGAAAGGACGGCTTAAGGCAGAAGAGTGCTCAATGACAACAGGAAGTAAAGAAAAATCTGGACCTCAAATTGGGGAGAGGACAGGCAAACCTTTTCTGTATCTGTATCATATAACAGATATGGACAAAAGAACTGTGAGAAGGGTGGTGGGGGCAAAACTTGGGAAGGAAAGTGATGTGGTTTCACTGGGTCCCCACCCATATCTCAACTTGAATTGTATTTTCCAGAATTCCCATGCATTGTGGGAGGGACCCAGGGGAATGTAATTGAATCGTGGGGGCTGGTCTTTTCCATGCTATTCTCATGATAGTGAATAAGTCTCATGAGATCTGATGAGTTTATCAAAGGTTTCCACTTTTGCTTCTTCCTCATTTTCTCTTCCTGCTGCCATGTAAGAAGTGCCTTTTGCCTCCCATCATGAACCTGAGGCCTCCACAGCCATGTGCAACTGTAAGTCCAATTAAACCTCTTTTTATTCCCAATCTTGGGTATGTCTTTATCAGCAGCATGAAAATGGACTAATATAGTAAGTTGGTACTGGGAGTGGGGCATTGCTGAAAAGATACTCAAAAATGTGGAAGCGACTTTGGAACTAGGTAACAGCCAGAGGTTGGAACAGTTTGGAGGGCTCAGAAGAAGACAGGAAAATTTGGGAAAGTTTGGATCCTCCTAGAGACCTGTTGAATGGCTTTGACAAAAATGCTGATAGTGAGATGAACAATAAGGTCCAGGCTGAAGTAGTCTCAGATGGAGATGAGTAATTTGTTGGGAACTGGAACAAAGGTGACTCTTGTTATGTTTTAGCAAAGACACTGGTGGCATTTTGCCCCTGCCCTAGAGATTTGTGGAACTTTGAACTTGAGAGAGATGATTTAGGGTATCTGGCAGAAGAAATTTCTAAGCAGCAAAGCATTCAAAAGGTGACTTGGGTGCTGTTAAAGCATTGTTTTAAAAGGCAAACATAGCATAAAAGTTTAGAAAATTTGCAGCCTGACAATGCAGTAGAAAGCAAAACCTATTTTTTGAGGAGAAATTCAAGCTGGCTGCAGAAATCTGCATGAGTAGCAAGGAACCTAATGTTAATCCACAAGACCATGGGGAACATGTCTCCAGGCCACATCAGAGACCTTCATGGCAGCCCCTCCCATCACAGGCCTGTAGGCCCAGGAGGAAAAAGTGGTTTCGTGGGCTGGGCCCAGGGTCCCCATGCTGTGTGCAGCCTAGGGACTTGGTTCCCTGTGTCCCAGCTGCTCCAGCCATGGCTGAAAGGGGCCAACATAAAGCTTGGGCTGTGGCTTCAGAGGGCAGAAGCCCCAAGCCTTGGCAACTTCCATGTGGTGTGGAGCCTGCAGGTGCACAGAAGTCAGGAACTGAGGTTTGGGAACCTCTGCCTAGATTTCAGAAGATATATAGGAATGCCTGGATGCCCAGGCAAAAGTTTGCTGCAGGAGCAGGACCCTCATGGAGAACCTCTTCTAGGGCACTGTGGAAGGGAAATGTGGGGTCAGAGCCCCCACAAAGAGTTCCTACTGGGGCACTGCCTAGTGGAGCTGTGAGAAGAGGGTCACCATCCTCCAGACCCCAGAATGGTAGATCCACCGACAGCTTGCACTGTACACCTGGAAAAGCCACAGACACTCAATGCTAGCCCATGAAAGCAGCCAGAAGGGAGGCTGTACCCTGCAAAGCCACAGGGGCAGAGCTGTCCAAGACCATGGAAACCCACCTCTTGCATCAGCGTGACCTGGATGTGAGACCTGAAGTCAAAGGAGATCATTTTGGAGCTTTAAAATTTGACTGCCCCACTGGATTTCGGACTTGCATGGGCCCTGTAACCCCTTGGTATTGGCCAATTTTTCCCATTTAGAACAGCTGTATTTACCTAATACCTGTACCCCCATTGTATCTAGGAAGTAACTAGCTTGCTTTTGATTTTGCAGGCTCATAGGCAGAAGGGACTTGCCTTGTCTCAGATGAGACTTTGGACTGTGGACTTTTGGGTTAATGCTGAAATGAGTTAAGACTTTGGGGGACTATCGGGAAGGCATGATTGGTTTTGAAATGTGAGGACATGAGATTTGGAGGGGCCAGGGATGGAGTGATGTGGTTTGGCTGTGTCCCCACCCAAATCTCAACTCGAATTGTATCTCCCAGAATTCCCACATGTTGTGAGAGAGACCCAGGGGGAGGTAATTGAATTGTGAGGGCTGGTCTTTTCTGTGTTATTCTCATGATAGTGAATAAGTCTCATGAAATCTGATGGGTTTGGCAGAGGTTTCCACTTTTGCTTCTTCCTCATTTTCTCTTGCCACCACCATATAAGAAGTGCCTTTCACCTCCTGCCATGATTCTGAGGCCTCCCCAGCCATGTGGAACTGTAAGTCCAATTAAACATCTTTTTCTTCCCAGTCTCAGGTATGTCTTTATCAGCAGCATGAATATGGACTAATACAGAAAGTATTGTGAAATGATCACAACAATCTAAGGAAGATAAAATATCCCAAAACATTAAAGTTCTAATCTACAGAGAAAATCCAAGATTTCCTCAGTCTTCCCATTAACCTTTATGAGATCCAGCAGGAGTGATGATTTAAACATCCAGTCGAGTTTCACATCTTGGTTTGTCAGTATGTCTTCTAGGCTCCCTCGGGAACAGAATTCTGTCACAATGGCAAACATCCCCGAATCATAGAAGAAACCCAATAAAGGGTTAATATTCTCATGACGCAAGTCCTTCATCTGGAAATGAGAGAGAGAAATGAGAGTCACAGCTGTCCTGTCTCAACTGGGGACCAGAGTTGAGGGCACATAACTTTCTCTTGACCCTTCTTATGATTGGTTGTGTGGTTGACAGAATTTTGACTCCCATGATCTCCAACCCCTAGTGTTACTCCTGTGATTGTGTTTTGTTATACAACAAAAAGGAGATTATCAGGGTGAGACTAATCTAATCACATGAGCCCATAAAAGCTTCAAAAGAAGACTGCAGAAGATAAGTCAGAGAGATTCAAAATATGAGGACTCAACAGGCCATTGTTGGCTTTGAAGATGGGGGGAAGGAGGCTATAAGCCAAAGAACGTGGGCAGCCTCTAGAAGCTGGTAACCACCCTCAGCTGACACCCAGCAAGAAAGTGGGGGCCTCAATTAATATGGTTTTGCTGTGTCCCCACCCAAATCTCATCTTGAACTCTAGTTCCCATAATTCCCACATACTGTGAGAGGGACCCACTGGGAGGTAATTGAATCATGGGGACAGGTCTTTCCCATGCTGTTCTCATGATAGTGAATAAGTTTCACAAGATCTGATGGTTTTATAAAGGGGAGTTCCCCTGCACACGTCATCTTGCCTGCCACCATGTAAAATGTGTCTTGCTTCCCCTTCACCCTCCGCTATGATTGTGAGCCCTCTCCAGCCATGTGGAAGTGTGAGTTCATTAAACTTCTTTCCTTCATAAATTACCCAGTCTCAGGTATGTCTTTATTAGCAGCATGATAATGGACTAATATATCGATCCTGTGACCCCACTAAACTGAATTCTGCAGGCAACCTGAAGGAACCTAGAAGTGGTTCCTCCTCACCCCAGCCCTGACCCCTGCCACAGGTCTCCAGATAAGAGCACAGTGCAACTGACACCTTGACTTTGGAGTTTTGAGATGCCAAGCAAAACACCCAGCTGAGTCGGCATTGACTGCTGATCTACAGAACTGTGGGATAATAAATCAGTGATGTTTTAAGCCACTGTTTGCACTAATTTGTTACAGCAGCAATAGAAAACAAATTTAATGGCCAAAGGGGAAAATTTCAGAAAGGGATCTCTTTTAGCATAATTATAAGTGAAACTGAAGCTGCAGATTTCTCCTTGATTCCTTTGGGACTTTCTGGAATGGAGCTCAGTGGCTCAAGAGGACTAAAGAGAGATGATACAGTAAAATGTAGAATAGATTGTCTTTCTATGAATACTCATCTACCTAGCACCTATTAAAATAGTTTCCCTATATAAACATCAGGCCAGAGCTTATACAATTTTTTTCAGAAGAAACATTTAGAATTTTGGCCACACTTTCTCTTTGCATTCATTCATTTTATTTCACTAATGTGAGAAGCATTTAGTGCATGCTCACAACATCCAAGACACTGGAATGCATGCTAGAGAAAAAGAGACAAACAAGGTAACATCACTGTCCTGAAAAAGCTTACATTCAATGAAGGATGATAGGCAAGTAATCCAATAATTGTATTTCATTGTGAAATGTGTTCTGAAAAATGGGGGCATGGGATGCTGTGAGAGCTCAAATGTTAAGTATCTAATTCACCCTAGGGTAGTCAGAGAAGGCTTCCCTAAGGAGGTAATATGTGGACTCTCTCAAAGGACAAGTAAGAGTTGACCAGGTGACGATGACATGATGAGAGGGGTTGAGAGTGATAGCACATTATGCTGAGAAATCCACAACAGGTTTAGGTGGTCAGAATGGAGTGTAAGGAAGAGAATATTAAATACCAGACTGGAGAAACAGACAGGAGCCACATCCCATGGGACTTTATGAACCATGCTATGGAATTTGAAATTTATACTGTGGGCACTCAATAATTATCATTTATTATTATTACTATTTAAATGAGGGATGAGAGAGGGGAAAAAAGACTCCATGATCCCTCCCAGATTTTTACTTGGATACCTGGGTAGACAGTGGTGCTACATATTAATATAGGGAATTCAGGGATGAGGTAATAGTGGATATGTTGGTGCCCTACACATAAGCCTTTAACCATGCATCCCCCAACTGCTGTGACTGTTGACTGATAACTCATAGTTGCTCCATTTAAAAAAAAAAAAAAAAAAACTGTCCTAGAGCACAAATTAATGGTGAGCCACCTTACCTGAGAGGTTAGGTCCCACCCACAGGCCTCAGGCAATAATTTACTCACTGAGGACAGTACAAAAGTCCAGCTTCCTAGCCTCAAGGTAAGATTCATGGTATAACTTGTACTCCAGCACTTCCCCATAAGATCATACTATTGCTAGTTTCCAGCTGAAATCAAATGTTTGCTTAACTTTTACCCTGTCCTATCCTACTTGCCTCACTCTTTACTTGAAAGCATTTTCTCCATAAAAAATTTGAACAAGAATTTCCATCTCAGGCTCAGATTTGGGGTAATCTCAGCTAAGACAGATGGAAAAGCACATTTGGTGGTGGAAAGGCTGATAAATTCAGTTGGAGACATATTGAGAATGAGGTACCTACAGAACATCAAGGTAGAACTATTTCAAAGACAGTTGTATAGTCAGAGTTGGAAGCTCAGGAATGAGTTCTGACCAGTATAAATACATGTGGGAATTGTAAGCAATTAAATTTTAGGTAAAAACAGTGGGAATAGATGAGATTACCCAAGGAAAGTATAAAGAAAAAGAGAAAAAGGAAACATCAACATTTGAAGGGTGGGAAAAGGAAGAACAGCCTGCAATAAGACTTAGAAGAAAGGCCAGGAAGTAGGGAAAAGCCTATTTAAAACAATATCGTTAAAACCACAGGATTAGTTTCAGGAAAGTGAGAAAAATGCCCGCCAGAAAGAATTTCAGGAAAGTGTGATAAATACCAGAGAGGTCAGGTAAGATGAAGAAAAGTGTCTGGTGAATTTCACCATTAAAATTTATTAATTATAGAAACTTACAAGTATGTTTACACAGATATGTATATCTATATCTATCTAAATAGAGAGATAGGCTTAGAATGGTAACAGTGTAAATGAACAGCAAAAGGCAGATCTGAGATGTATTTTGGAGCCATAAATCACGTGACTTGTGCGGGGAGGGGAGGAAAGAATGAAATCAAGAATTATTCTATTTTGAACATTGAACTGATGGTGGCCCATTTATTGAGATGAATTACACTATAGGACTTAGAATATGAGCTTGCCTCTTAGAATATGATACAAGCAAATGTTAAATTATCCCTGGTGGGAATGTCAGCTATTGACCACCAAGGTTGCCTTCTAAGCACAAGAGCCTGGCACCCATGACAATTCTCTTCATCCACTGCAACCTAAACTAGTTAAGGTGGACAGAAACTCAGCCCACAAACAGCAAAATAGGCACTGCTCCTAAAGTTCTATTTTCTTATGAAGCAAGCAGCCAAAATTACTGGGCTCTGGAACTCTGTTAGAAGAAAAAGTAAAAAGTTGTCATATTCAATACTACTAGCTGTTCAACACAAATCTATTTTCTCTTCTTCTTGGGCAGAGAGCTAATCCATATTTTCCAGTCTTTCTTGGAGCTAAGTGTAGCCATATGACTGAATTCCAAGCAATGGAATAGAAGAGGAACCAATATATGCCACTTCCTCTAGGCAATTAAATGGGAGAGGAAGTGATATGTGCCATTTCTAGGCTAAGGCTTTTATACCCTCTTCCATATTATTTTCGCACTTCTATGGATGAATGCAGATGATGATACGGCCCTAAGACATAGCAGAGCCATGAGATGGTTATAGCCTGGGTCCCTGAGTCATGATATTGGAAGAGAGTCACCTGCCAACAGTACAAGAATATCTACCTTGTGCTGTTATTTGGGTGAAAATTAAACTTCTGCTGTGTTTGAGACATTACGTATTTGAAGGTCTATTTGTTAAAGCATCTAGCATTACACTAATGGTATTGGCATGGGAAAAATTCTGTCTAGATCTTTGATAGATCTCTATATGCATCCATCCTCAGCTGTAACCAATAGAGAAGATCCCGTATAAGGAGCAGGTAGATGCCTACATGCAGTCATGTCCTACCAAGATTCTGGACGACCTCAGGACGCAGAGAAAGTTTGCAACATCAGCTTTAGCAAGATGAACATTTACCGGGTAGACATGTACTTTACCTCTTCCATAATACCTATCTGGCTGGCTACCATCAAATGTTTAAGAGTTGAATGTGTCCTGTCTCTCAAGGATTTTGTTAGCTTCATATTTGACATGACATCTTTTTTTTTCTTTTTTTTTTTTCTTTTTTTTTTTGAGACAGAGTCTCATTCTGTCACCTAGTTGGAGTGCAGTGGCACGATCTCGGTTCACTACAACCTCTGCCTCCTGGGTTCAAGCGATTGTCCTGCCTCAGCCTCCTGAGTAGCCGAGATTACAGGTGCATGCCACTACACCCAGCTCATTTTTCATATTTTTGGTAGAGATGGGGTTTCGCCATGTTGGCCAGGCTGGTCTCGAACTCCTGACCTCAAGTGATCCACTCGCCTTGGACTCCCAAAGTGTGACATGACACCTTTAAGCATACAGCCACCAGAGACATCTGTTCCTAAGTCAAATACTGACCTAAATTATCTGAAAGACTCCTTCACCCACTTGAAAAAAGTTCCTAGGATGTCATAACACCAGAATTAATCTCTCCGTGTCCCTCTTCCACAGCAGCTGAAATTTCATCCTAGAGGTGGGTATGTATACCTTTATGAAAATGTCCTTCTCCACATAGGTGCTCACCCGCAACTATATCAGCAATTGCTGACTATTTTGACAAGAAAATGTTCTTTTTTTTTCTTTTTTTCTTTTTCCTTTGTTGTTGTTGTTGTTGTTGTTGTTGTTGTTGTTGTTGTTGTTTTGAGACGGAGTCTCACTCTGTCACCTAGGCTGGAGTGCAATGGCACGATCTCAGCTCACTGCCACAACCACCTCCCAGTTCAAGTGATTCTCGTGCGTCAGCCTCCCAAATAGCTGGAATTACTGGTGCGTGCCACCATGCTCA